CATGATATTTAAAGCATGAAATATCGACATCGTGTTAATTTAGAGTGTGCCAATATACCGGTATATTATATGTTATGATAACATGACATGTAAATACTCCCGCGCGAGTAATTGGTTGACCTCTCAGGTGGCTTTATTGCAGACGCAGACTCGGAGAAGAATGTCGTCTGAGCGAGAGAGTGAAACACTCTGTCCACACCAGAAAAAAGACAAACATTTTCTCTCCGAGTGTAGGCTACACACACCAGTTGTGCCATTCGGCGTCTGTCTGTGGCGCCCAGCAACAGCAAATCCTGCCGCGACACAAAGCGTCATTTACATAGTTTTATATTACATTTAAATTATATTTGTCTCAAATCACCATAAATTGCGCTGCAATTTACATTTAGTTTTACATTAATTTACAGAAACCATCTGCTTGAAAGAAAATTGCTGATGTTATCAGATTTTTAGGTGATATTGTCAATTCATTGAGTTAATGTATGCAAGTGCTCAGGTCACAGACTCAGCAACTATTGTATTTAATTGTACAGTACAATCATAACATATTACAGACATTATCTTAATGTCATAATGTCCTTAAACATAATACTGCTGGAAAGTGCGTGTCTGGTGTGCGATACCTCAAGTTGTCTTTGACGCGACGCGGCACAGCAGAATATGCACCAACCTTTTTACCCATCTTCGTGTCCACCCTGCAGATTACCCTATTATGCAGAGAATACATTGCGATTATTTTACTAGTGATGGAATGGGAAACGTGAAATTAACCTGTTCATACAATTAATAAAGGGTGATTATTAAGAACAATCTTATTTTTGAATTTGCACTTGATTTTTTTGTTTGTACCCTTATGTTTGTTGGGTAAAAAAAGAAAAGAAAAACTATATAAACAAAGTAAAAATTAATTTGACTGATAACTACCCCCTTTATAGAGTCTATAAATATCACAATATATTGTGAATTGTTTTGGCCACAATAACCATGGTGTGAAAAATCTAACATTTCATTCATTCATCCTTTTAAAGAAGAAAGAAATGTTTGCTTGCCAGACCCTCTTTAATACAACTGAACGTTAGAACGGATAATTTTTCAGATATTTTAGATACGTTTTTGCTCAATTTAACTTACTGCACATCAGTCATTTAAAAAAAGCATCATCTCTCCAACAAATGTCTAAATTCATATCTAATGTAGATGGTGAAGTGGGTTGAGATTTGATGAAAGAGCTATTAAGACATAAGTCACTAAGGTTACCTAAAATGTGTACACACAATACCTAGTCACCACTACAATTTAGGCCGATTAGAAGTGTTTGCAGACTCATTTGATACCAGAAGAACGAGGCAAATTGTCATTACTCTTCCATTATATGTAGACATGATATATTTATACAGAGGAAATAACAGTTTTCTTCAAAATAACAAATGCATATGGCAATAAGTCATGAACACGTTAGCAGTGGAGGTCCACTATGTCTCTGTTAGTACTGTTTTTTTGTATTCACAGCTAAATTAAATTTTCCACATTCTATTCCACAGCAGCGCTGATGTTCAACCTATTGATTTCCTGAGCACTTCAGTAAGGGCGGGCTCAAGCAATCTGAGACACTTGAACATATGGAGAGTCAATGGCCATTATACTGTTTTGTACTGGTAGTATTCAAGACTGGAGGCTCAAAGTGATTTATTTGATGTACTGAAACTGATGTGGCAGTGTATAGATGCAGTTGCGGGCCAATAAAGAATGTCATTTCAACTGAAAGCCAAAATTCAAGAAAAACAGAGATGAGTAGAGAATAGAGAATAGAGATTTTGAATAGAGATTTTGAAACACAATATAATGAAGAAATAAAAGAAAGGCTACAGAATAATATTATTTAAACAAAAAAATGAAACAAAAAGCATATTTAGTATTACTTTTTATGACTTGTATACTTAGTAAAAAGTAACTAAGTAATGGGATAGAGATAGTATATATATATATATATATATATATTACCTAAAGGATTATTAGAAACACCATACTAATACTGTGTTTGACCCCCTTTCACCTTCAGAACTGCTCTAATTCTACGTGACATTAATTCAACGAGGTGCTGAGAGCATTCTTTAGAAATGTTGGCCCATATTGATGGGATAGCATCTTGAAGTTGATGGAGATTTGTGGGATGCACATCCAGGGCACAAAGCTCCCATTCCACCACATCCCAAAGATGCTCTATTGGGTTGAGCTCTGGTGACTGGGGGGCCATTTTAGTACAGTGAACTCATAGTCATGTTCAAGAAACCAATTTGAAATGATTCAAGCTTTGTGACATGGTGCATTATCCTGCTGGAAGTAGCCATCAGAGGATGAGTACACGGTGGCCATAAAGGGATGGACATGGTCAGAAGAAATACTCAGGTAGGGCGTGACATTTAAACGATACCCAATTGGCACTAAGGGGCCTAAAGTGTGCCAAGAAAACATACCCCCACACCATTACACCACCACCACCAGCCTGCACAGTGGTAACAAGGCATGATGGATCCATGTTCTCATTCTGTTTAAACGCCAAATTCTGACTCTACGTGTGAACGTCTCAACAGAAATCGAGACTCATCAGACCAGGCAACATTTTTCCAGGCTTCAACTGTCCAATTTTGGTGAGCTCTTGCAAATTGTAGCCTCTTTTTCCTATTTGTAGTGGAGATGAGTGGTACCCAGTGGGGTCTTCTGCTGTTGTAGCCCATCCGCCTCAAGGTTGTGTGTGTTGTGGCTTCACAAATGCTTTGCTGCATACCTCGGTTGTAACGAGTGGTTATTTCAGTCAAAGTTGCTCTTCTTTAGCTTGAATCAGTCGGCCCATTCTCCTCTGACCTCTAGCATCAACAAAGCATTTTCACCAACAGGACTGCCACATACTGGATGTTTTTCCCTTTTTACGCCATTCTTTGTAAACCATAGAAATGGTTGTGCATGAAAATCCCAGTAACTGAGCAGATTGTGAAATACTCAGACCGGCCCGTCTGGCACCAACAACCTTAAATCACTTTTGTTTCCCATTCTGACATTCAGTTTGGAGTTCAGGAGATTGTCTTGAACAATTCCACACCCCTAAATGCATTGAAGCAACTGCCATATTATTGGTTGATTAGATAATCGCATTAATGAGAAATTGAACGGGTGTTCTCAATAATGCTTTAGGTGAGTATATATGTAAGCAAGGTACGCGAGGCTGTGCTGTATCGTGAATAAGTAACGGCTGAAGGGCGTTGCAACCGACTTATTCACGATACAGCACTTGCCTTAAGTACCTTATTGCTTTTATAAAACGGTTACCATACAATAAAAATATTAAAGTTAAAAAAAGATGTATAAGTGCAACTTTCATGAAGTAAAATCACTAAAAACCTTCCTTCCGCTAGAAAAAAATAGTCCCTGACCGCAGTGATAAATAGAACCATTGGATGAAGCAGTCACTGCCATGTTTTATCATGAATAAAGCACAGCTTCCAATCAGCAAACCAATCAGAATCAAGGATTGGAACTAGCTGTTAATAATATATATATATATATATATATATATATATATATATTAGCATAAAAAATGCATCTTCAATATAATATTATATAAATAAATGCATCTTTTATATAAAAATGCCCATGGCGTAGCAAGATTTTTTTTCTTTACATTTCAAAGACAAAAAAGTAATTAAAATAAGAAATATCTTGTTTTTTAGTTGTATATTCTTATTTTAATTTAATAATTTATTTTTAACTCATCTTGAGTCTCCCTTAGAAGGTTGCTGAGGCCACCTAGTGGGCCCTGGACCCCTAGTAGACAATTGAACTTGTCTCATTTTTTACATGGATTTATGGTGCCGATTGAGGAATTAAGTTTAAACAGACCCTATTAAAGCATCTTTCCTATTATATTCTAACTCAATTCATCTTTATCTCTAAACCGAATTGTCATCTGTGATTTTAAAGCTTTTAAGCAGAAAAAGCAATGCACATTTGCCACTGTAAATAGTTAAAGAAAATCTCATAGTACTTACAAAAACACATTATTTTTAACTGGATTGGGAACTAAAAATAAGAGTGCCCAAACCTAAAAGCTCTAAAATTCATCTCCATAGATTTATGTTGAAAGCAAACATAATTTTAAGACTGTTTTTTTTTCTGCTAAACTGCAATTACGCTTTTATATGCATTGGATTGCATTCTTTTATATGCATGTATTTTATATACACATTGAAGAGACAGAGGGTAGGATAGCATGCGGTTACAAAATAAGTGCAGAGGATTTACAAAGAAAGAGAGAAACTCTTCACTTTTGTATTCATTGGTTTGACGAACAAGCGTTACAGTGGTAAACCTTCTTGCAAGGGTTCAGACAGAGGAAGACAGACAGCGGGGATGAGGGGTGATGGGAGGAGCGTGGTACAGAGAGAGAAGAGGGGACACCCCAATAAATGGATTACGCTACATTTCAAAACGATTCAGATGAAACAAAAGTGCCACAAACCGAGAAGGCCAGGATTGACTTTGCATAAAGATCGCGCTCTCTACAAGTGCATCAGTGCAGAACTAATTTAACTGATTCAAACCGTCAGTACTAAACCTTTTATGTGATCAACTTGACCGGGCCTCATTTTAGCCTTTTGGAGAAGTCATGGATATTAGTCTATAATGTTAACAATAAAGTCTCGAACAGACATACATAACCAAAGCTTATATGTGTCGCACAAGAAAACAGAGTGAACATGATAGCTGCAGGGATGAAAATGTGATGGAAGAGGAAGGAAAAGTACTTTAAGTCTCCAAACAAACACATGGTTAATTTTGCACACAAAGAAGCAGAAAGGGCAGGTATAAGCCAACAAAAACACCCGGGAAAGATATTGGAACATATTAGCATGAAAAAAAAAAAAAAATAGAATTAGCAGAATAAGACAGATGAAAAATGAAGGCGAGAAATGACCAAAACAAAAGCAAAGTGAAAAGCAAAATACCAGCAAGTGTTGGAAAAGAACGGTGGCTTCCTTTCCCCCGATTTTGCCCACTTCCAGGTCAGCCATCCCTCGTTTCTCCTCTTACAGGTTCCTCTCCTACTTTACTCTTCTCCCTCTCGCATTTCACGTTTCTGCCAGTCCACTCTCCTCGGTCCTGCTCTCTTCGTTTACCCCCTCCTTCCTTCTCTCCCTCTCTCTCTGCCTTTTCATCATTCCTCCTCACAGACACCACTCTCTTCCGCTTCCTTCCTTTCTTTACGGATAAGTGTAGAGAAGAGGGAAGGGGGAGGGAAACCTGCACCGTAAAAAGAGAGCAAGACTTCTGTGTTACAAGTAAAAAAAAGGGCCTCTCAATGAGAAACAGGCTATCTCAGTGTGTGTGACACAGCTGAGAGAGAGACGCATTAAGCCGTTTTCTCCACCCGTTGGGAGAAACAGAAATACTAGATGCTCTTAAAGCAGTGCGTTAAAAGAAGACCAAATGAGAGACGAGCTAGGGAAAAAAAGAACAGTGGTGTTTAATAGTATGTGCATGTGCAGGAGAGAGTGAAGGAAATAAATACAGGACAGATCGAGATGGAGCGAGAGAGAAAGGGGGGTGGCTTCAGACAGAATACCTTAGTGGGAGGGAAAGAGGAGGAGAGTAGCAGTGAAGAGAAATCAAAGGGGTGGATTTTACTCCCAGTCTTCTCGTTCACTTTTTCTCTCGTTCAGAATCAATGTGCTGTTAAGGATACAGCAGCATACAGATGACTCCTCTCGGCTTAGTTACCGAATATTGTTTTCTTAGTTCTTCCACTTGGTCAGGAACATCATGTAATCTTGCACATGAACTTGAAACTCTCTCCCTGGTCTGCAAGCTGCAATCCCATCATGGCGTCTCTCTGCAGGTGAAACACACTGAACTGAGTCGGGGGGACAAGAAAAGGAAAGTGAACATTGATATGCAGAGCAGAGAGTTGCAGGACAGCCAGAACAATATCCTGACATGGCAGGTCCCATCATGACAAAATATCTCATATACTGTGACATCATGACACGCTTTTGGTTTAAATTTTTTGTTATAGTCTACTTGCCAACATACAGCATGGTAGACATTTACTGGAGTAAAAAGTGCGACAAGACAACCGTCCCAGATCTTAACCATATATACGATACTCCTACCTTACTTCTTCGTGTTGTGCAGAAAAGTCACATGCGTAAATTCCAACACGATTGAATAAAACATGCAGGTTTTTCGCGGTTCGATTGTTTTTTATAGTTTTGATTTGACGTAGGATCTTGAAAACGCTGCGATTGTTGCTCAAAAGTGAAAAAATTATGCACGTCGCAAGTCAACAATTTAAACAGATCAAATAATTAACAAACTCAGTCGTCATCAACTTCATGGTGGTTGTAAAGATGGAAATTGGGTTTCTTCTTAACATAAAATGACCAAGGTAGGGTAGGAAATTTTTTTTTATACTGGTTGAAACTCTCTTCACATAATGATAGCAATCAATACTTAGTCTAAAAATTCTAAATATTAAAACAAGTACTTCTTTGAAAGTCCCAGGACCAAAAAAACATTTGTCTTATCATTGCATTCTGCCCAAATGCAATGATATGATGTCCTTCCTGTCTGTCAACACATTCCGCACAGCCTGCTCCATTAGCATTAGCCATTCCGTAATGCCCGGCGGTACACATTGTACGATTTTGGGCTGTCCCAGACGAAAGATGACCAATCGTAGTGATTTCTATGGTTGCGACTAGCTAATAAAAAATGCAACATGAAATTGCATATTGATCAATGTGATATGGCGCTAAAAATACAACCTCAAGTTCCATTTGCTAATTTGGCATGCCAAGTTGGCTTATTTTCCCTAGCCATGACCGCATCGATATTTCACTTTCTTCTTTTTTTTTTAGCGCACATAAAAACCATAATAGCCAAAGTGCAGTTTGATTTGTAATGATTTTAGGATTGCCGAACAATCCTAAGCATGAGGCTGTACAGAGTTGTAGACAGACAGTCACTGAGCAACACAAACAGCAGCAGCCTTTTACAGTTCCTCCTGAACCAAAACAACTAGCTTATGCTGCATACACACTTGTGTCATAACCGTAATTACGAGATGGCAACACGTGACATTCTACCTGGAGTTATTTACATCCTCAGATTTTTGCATTTCTATCTATGTTAACACTATCAATGGCGAAATGAATATGCAGCATTCAGGTGGTACAAGTAAGAGCTCTGTACGTTTTTTATGTTCGTTATTATTGTAAAATGTAATTATTGTAAATAAAAATATGTTCCCACCACTTTTGCCAGGGTCGATATTGTCCCAACTCCCCACTAATCTGGGAACGCCCCCTGGAACGCCCAGTCGCGTGATGTGAATTTAGCCCGTGGGGGAAAACATTGCCTTGGTGCTCATTGAAATACACGCGACAATCGTGCCGAAGAGTTGTTGTATCGTTTTCTGTATTGCCAATATTGAAGTTCTACATCCTTCCTACTAAATGCACAGAATCGTGTGAGCCTCCAGCTGTGTTGTGCCTGAACGTGTTCAATGAACGATAGTTCATGAACGCATTCATATTTTGGGCGAACGTGAACTGAACGAACTGTATTACTGCCTGATGAACGTTACTGTGAATTTGTTCATTCTGGTGTCTGTGAACGTATGCTCTCTCAGTTTAACATCGTACAATAGGGTGACAGATTTCTATAGAGCCTTCCAGGCGAAAACCTGGCTAAAACACACGTTAACAGGCCTTAATATGTAGCGAAAAAAAAACCCAATCTGGCAACACCAGCCACCAGTGTCGCACCGCGGCCGCCGTCGACAAAGCAACATGCGAGGAGGTGTCGATCAATTGAACGGGTTTAATAATGAGGTCGGTGAGGATGGGAAATAAATAATGGACAAATGGAAATGGCGGCTCCCGCGAGGCTTCAACTTCCGGCCGGCTGATGGATTACCCCCTTGGTATGTATCCGGGAGTGGCGAGAGGTGACCAAGGGGGTAATCCATCAACCGGAAGTTGAAGCCTTGCGGGAGCCGCCATTGTAGCAGAACATCACCTGATGTTAGCATCCAATTGACTCCCATTCATTTTGGCATGACTTTGACAGCGAATAACTTTACATCTGAGGCATTCAAAGACTTAATTTGTCCATTATTTATTTCTAAAGAAACACGACAATGTATAAAATGCTCCATTACTTTGTAGCTTACGTTACGGCACCATAGAAGCCATTTTTGTAAAAATAGGCTAAAGATTGTATCATAACCACGGAACTTTCTGTCGCACAATAGAGACAGGAGAAGCTCGCAGGCAATCTTTTACTGTCTATGAGGCAATCAGCCCATAAATAGACAGTCCATAACAGGACAGAATATTTCAACAACGTTTTTGAGGAATTAGGTGATTCAGATTTGGCTTGGCACAGCTACTAGAAGATTTCCAGCTGTTGGACTGTCGTCACACTTAGTTTGAGCCTGTGCATTCGCTCAGAAATCAGACAGGAAGTGCAAAAATCGGGCTTCAGTCGTCTCGTTGAAATCAATGGGGTCGCTGTGTCCATGTCTTTTTTCTTTTGACGCCCACTTCAGGCTTCAAAAACGCTCTTCAGAAACCTACGGGTGACGTCACGGATACTACGTCCATATATTTTACTATGATGCCACCCATGTGTAATTAAAAACAGAGTAAACCATAACACCATGTCAAAATAACTCATATGAATCTCTTACACTTACCTAGATGACAATGTCAAATAAATGGCTTCTTCTTCTCATTTCTCGTGAATCCGTTTCCTTTCCTCGCGTCTAGCTCCAACTCAGATGAGCGGGAAAGATCGGCTGCATCCGAAATCGCCATTCTTTCTTAGTACGCTACAAATGTACATGTATTATGTGAGAAGTATATCTGAATTCACGTCACTCATAAAACAGTAGGCAAAAAGTACCTGTGAGTGGACTTCCAGCAATATTCTGTAGTGTAAAAACTATCGAAAGCTAACTATCCATGAGGTTACGGTGGAGGATTATAAATAATGGCAAATGAAGCAACGCACCTGACGCTGTAGGTCACATCACATGATATAGTGACTACATGTGGGATGTAGTTCATCCAGATTACATTCTTCATACGAAGGCTTCGTCCACATTAATTAGGATACATTTAAAAACGGATTTTTCGTTTAAAAACGCTCTCCGTCAACACTAACGTTTTCCGACGTTTCAGAAAACTTCTAAATTCAACTTATTGCGCATGCGTGAAACCTCACAGAAGCTGCATGATACAGATGGGAAATTAAATAATAAAGTTATCGCGCAGTTCTTCTAACAGGGTAATTTTATTTAGAAAAATATGTCACTAATATGTCATTAATTAAGTTGTTAATTAAATTGAACAAGACTCAAAATCATTTGCTTTAAATCATCAGAATAATGCACCTCTTTGTGGGTGGTCTTCTCTCAATTATTTTGGTTTTCTATAGAGGTGCTTTCGGCACAAACCTGATTACTGTTCTGTTATTTGAACTTTTGCTGAAATGTCACAAACCCCCATCACAACTGCACACATTTGACTTGTCAAAATAACAATTATCACAAGCGATTTCACAAAATACTTGCATTTCAGCACATGTAAGACCAATAGAGCTTTGCACTGTTGATGACATTGAGCAACCATTCAAAAGTAATCAAAATCACAGTCTAACCTCTTTTGATTGTCCTCACACAGAGTAACAAGGACAGATCACACCACACATTATCGCCACACAACCAACGAGGCAGATTTTTGAGCACACTGCAAACCTAAACAACTATCGATCTGCTTCAGAATTGGTGAGAGGTGGGATCACCGGGATGGAAGGAAGGGGGAGAAAAGACTAGACTTTGACAGAGGTCAAAGAGAATTGTGCTGCAATCTCTTTCACCTTCATTATAGAAAGTAAACTGGCCCTTCATACATAACATCATTACCAGAGTGGGAGAACAATTCCATTAGGAACACTTCACTCCTAATGCAGACAAACTGTTCTTTTGCCCAAGGACAATCATTACCTGGGGGTGTGAGAGGGATGCAGAGGGAGTGTGTGTGTGGCTGTGTAGAGGTAACTGTGCATGAGAGGATGGTATGCTTATACTGATGCTGATCTTGAAAGGCCATCGCTATCGATTGCATTAAGCTTGCTGGGAACCCGGGAAATCGATACATTTTTAAAGGTGAAGCAACTAGCAGACAGCATTTGTGTGTTGAGGACTTCAATACAAAATGATTCAAAAAGTGGTTATTCTAAAGATATTAAAATACACATAATCAAATTATGAATTTTTTTCAATATTATTATTAAAATATACTACAGTACAGTACACATAAAAAATTTATTTAGTCATTTTCAATGCAAATTCAGATAGTATGTGCCGGTGTAGAAGTCATTTATTGCTGCAAAGCTCAAGCTGGGCAACAAAGAATAGCCTTGATAATTTCCTATGGCTACGAACGAAGCACCTGTGGTTTCTGATATGAGTAATATGATCCATTTTGCCTTGGTAGCAAAAGAAATAACCATCAAGCCACTTTTAAACCTCTGTTATTGTAGTGGATTTATCAAGTACCGGTACTTTACAAATTAATAACTTTGTATCAATTTGTGTCTCTTTTATGCAAATCAAATATACTGTGTTTGAGAGCAAAAATGTATTATATTGAAATTTTAAAAAAAAAGAAAATATTGCCAATAATTTCTTCTTAAGACTGTTTTTAATGAAAAAATAAAGTAATTGATAGCAAAACTCTTTGCATTTTAAATACATATTGTATTTTCTTTTATGTAGTTCCTGTGCTTTTCTATGTACCCATACATTTTGCTCTCTGTTAGTGTCATTTTTTGCGAGTTGCTTGCGAGTTGAAAAGTTTTGCTTGCAAATTAAGCTGCATCTCAAAACATTTGCAATATATATATATTTTTAATTGCAATATAATTAGTTTGCAATGCATGTTTGTCTGATTGCATAAAAAAGAAACAAAAGTAACTCCATACCAGATAATAAGCCAAGCAGTTTTGGGCATCTGGGAAAACACGGGACTAAAAAAAAAATGACAGAAGACTCCCTGCTTCTGCAATTGGTGAATCAAACAAATTGCCCCTCCCCAAACTCACGTCATTTGTTGAGCCACTGTTGCTGGGCTGGTTGTGGTGCACAAACAAACAAAATATTTTGATAAGAGGCACAACATTGGGGTAATCATCAATGAAATTGCTAAAATGTCACATTCAAGAGGTAGTTCATATTGGAAAAAAAAAAAAAATTAATCATATGCAAATGGTCCATGGTTTCCTTCCTCGGTCAAAGGAATACATCACACTTTTATTTCAAGTGGGATGCCAAATCAGCCATGGCTCTTTGACCAAATTAATTGCTTGTTCAAATGCATCCAGGAAAAATCCAATCAGTCCACCAGCTGAGGAACGGAATCACCCACTGACAAGGAATCTGGAGCCTGGAGTATGCAGGAAAAGATGAAGGAGAAAATGAGGAGAAATCACACTGTTTTCCTATTTTGTTCTTGAATTCCAGTTACAGCATTGAGGCAGGTTGATTATACTCATGACTGCATTGCCAGTAAAAAAAAATCTTATTGCAAATTAGTTATGACCATCTGATCCTCTTTCTCTTTTTTAAATTGTTTTCCACCTCCCTTTCTTATAGTTCCATATCTGTGACATTCTGTATTATCTTACTGAGTAAAAGTGACTGATTGTGACTAGGAAGGAATGTTATCAATGATAGCATTTATCTCACGCTGTTTTAGGCTGTTTGAGCAAGTTCTTCTAACATGTAGCCTGATGAACCCGCTCTAACATCATATCCGTACCCAGAGGGCAATAGAAGAGAAAGCAGTAGAAGTAAGAGGAAAAAAAGAAAGGATCAATTCTGCCATCTGCTGCACATCAGGAGAAGTTCAAGAAGTTCCATCAAAAGTTGATCAGTCCTGAAGTCATGCAATTCTATTCCAAACCGATATTGTTTTTCATATTGTGCTGGTTCAGTGGCACTATATAATGGTTATATGTATATATAATAATATATTATAAGAGGCTACTTACACATATCACTTTCTTTTTATGAACTAGTTTTATGAACTTGATTATTTAGTAGGCTAATTTCATCATAATTTATTAATCCCATAATAACTTCTAAAATGTTTTTTATTTATTAACTGTGCATTTTTCTGGGTTTGATTATAGCCATTGTGTTTATTTAGTTTTTGTGTTTGGTATGTAGGCTACTGTCTATATTATTTTAAGCATTTCTTACCATTCTTGTACAGATCAAAATTTAACACACTTCAAAAATCAGGTTTAGCAATAATAAAACAACAACAAAAAAGTAGGCTACATCTACAATGGCATTGATAAATACGGATTAAAAATCTTCATAAACCTTCATCTTACTTCCTAGTACACTAGCAATGACCATATTTGGGTTTGAGGTGAGGTGATTCAGCGCCATAATAACAGACATGACTGCTTGTAGTAAAAAAAAAAGTGTGTAAAGCTGTACTGTATGGACAGGGAAGTGAGTCATATGCTAATCACTGACGGTAAAATGACGTGTTTGTTGGTCGACCGACCCCAGCACGAATGAAGAAACGTGGAAACACTGTAGGCTACTACAATAACCGACTACAACAAGGAAGCAACGTGGTTAACGTTACTCTGTTAGCCTATTTGGACATAACAGTTTTGAGGAAGTAGAACTAAAAAGAACGAAACATCGAGTCATTTTGGATTAGTCTTATATCGGTAAGGAATTGCCTTAAGAATAATTTATTATTACAGTAACTCTTTAAGTTTTTCTTTCTTATTTGTTATTAAGAGATTGAGTTAAGGGATCAGTTGTAAAATGGATCAAGTTGCCAAAACATAAATGTGATGTAGTAGGCTATGTTATGTAAAATGTTAAACTCCGATTTGATCGTAGCTACTTGTTACTGCAGTTACCATTATTATCATTATATTATCTAAAAAAAAAAAAAATCTGGAAATGATAAACACTACACTATAAACTATATAGCCATAAGTGTGTATTATATATATATAATACACACACACACACACACACACACACATATGATTTTAGGGGTTTTTGTTGGGAATTTCCGATGATCCGATGATGCACTTTCCCAGTCACTTACTTAAACATCTCTAGTATTGCATGTGGTACGCGTGTAGCACGTGACTGAAGATCAGTTCTTTGGTGCGCTCTGTTTTTTTTATTCCCGGCGTTTTCTACGCGTTTTTAGGCGCTATATGTGAATCCGGCCTTATACGGTAATGTGCTCATAACTTTACTTTTTTAATAGACATACCAGTTTTAATAGGCTGTAATGCTAGAGTAGAATTAGACTATTGTAAACACCCGCTTCAAGGACAAGCAGTTTGGAAAATGGATGGATGGAGCCGAACGTTTTTTGTTCAGAGATAGTATTTTTTTTTCCACATTCATGTCACACATGTCTGGTACAATTACAATCTGGTACAATCTGGTACAAAAAAACACATGTTTTGTTTTATTAAAGGTATAGTTCACTTTAAATTCATTTTAGATATGTTTTAGCTTACCTTAAGGGCATCCAAGATGTAGATGTCTTTGTTTCCACAGTATTTTCAATTTTGATATTTTTAGGTCAAACCGTTCTTGTCTGTCAGTCATATAATGGACATTTATGGGGTCCACCCAGAGTCCACCTCAAAGAGCATGCACAGAGAAGTCCAAATTAAACATGATTTAATGACTCGTAAATGTAAGTACACATTGATAGCCTAAGACACAAAACGAGCGGTTTGTGTGAGAAAACGAACAGTATTTATATCGTTTTTAACTTTTTACCTCTTGTAATCACAGCCACGTCCTATCTGTGCAAGCCCCAGAAAGCCCCGGAAGTGATATCTTGCGCGGTTGCGAAAAAAAAAATCAACGTTGTCTGTATATATTATCGAAATCATCTTCCATTGCAATTTTCTGTATATCTAAATATGTTTAGATCTTCACAGTGAAGGATAACACTTCTGAAATCTCTGTGTAAACAATTAGTGACGTATGCGCAAGAGATCGCTTCCGGGGCTTGCGAAGATAGAAGCGCCTGCGCCCTCCGAGTACTTGGACGTGATTGTGATTACAAGAGGTAAAAAATCGTTTTCTCACACAAACCGCTCGTTCCGTGTCTTAGGCCATCAATGTGAACTTACATTTACGAGTCATTAAGTCATGTTTAATCTGGAATAATTAAAAATATTTTTTGAGTTTGACAACGAACACATCAGAAAACACAGCTATACATAACATAGTTAAAACATAATAATAATTAATAATTTATGAACATTGACTATCAGTCTTTATTCACCATTTTCTCGTGTTTTCTCAATAGAATTCATAAAAGTATAGAAAATAATAGCATAGTTCTAATAGGGCCACATTGTAACGCATTGTTACTTCACAACTGGGATTTAAATCCTGCTAGTGTCTTCTGCTAGTTAGCGAAGCATTAAAGAACCATGTCAACTGTTAAAGAACATATTGGAGATTAAAATAATATCAGAATTGTCTAAAATAAACACCAAAAATAGAGATGAAAAATTAACACAAGTAAGAAATTTACTTTTGCTAATATGGTTAAGTAAATGTTCAGTGATATCCACCAAAGATTTCTGGATTTTTTGTCTCAGTGTTGATTAAATACACTAAGTTTCGTCATGCTAGCATGTGTGGAAGTAGCCTATTTAAAACAAGTACAACTAGCCCCACGTTTGTTTGTGCCCCGCTCTCCCTATTGTCTGGAACTTTGCCTTTTGAGAACACATGCCTAAAATGATCTATAAGTAGCCCAAGAGTTTGAGGTTTAGGTGGAAAATAGAAATTATCTATGAGCCCCTTGTGTAGACTTACTCTTGAATGATTTATTATTGTGTCACTTAAATCAGCATTCTGACTAATGTCTGAGTTGACTCATTATAGCATGTTCCTTAAAGGTTGCATAATCCAACAACCTAAGTCAGCAGCATGTTTAGAGTGGCAGATTATTTGTTAATTTGGTTTAATTAATGTTATATATATATAAATATTATATGTAAAACCGATTTTTCTTTTCTTGGAATTAACAAAGACATGAATTATCTTAAGTAGGTCAGCATGTTTCACAAAGTAAACTGTGGATTGAATAATAAAACTTATACATGGTTTAATTTACTCAGAAAGAAGTTAAAATATTTACACATTTATTTTTCTTAGTGAGAGTTTAGGCTAAAGAACATCAGTAAATGACCGCATATTAATGTCTTGGGGAAAAAAATGATAATAACATGATAGCATGATGATAACACTAATTTGCATTGAGTCCAAAGGATGCATGTTTATTTGCTCTTTTATCTTATTTAGAAATATCCTGTTGGAAAAAGAGCAACTCTATTTCCTTATTTGCATCTTATTTTCCTTTAATGCAAATTATGCATGTGGCATTCTGTCAGTATAACAAGTCTTTTACATGTAGTGTAGCTGAGTAACAGCTGAAACAGTTTCAACAGGTGTCAGAGGAAAGAGAAACCCTTGCTTAGGGGAGTTCCCCTATCAGAGATGCTTATACTATTGACCTATACAAATGGGTAGATGTTTCAGGTGGTGGTTAAACATTGAAATTTATTTATTTGACAGGACATGTTTTTTGGCTAGTGACTGAAAAATAATATGCTTTTATTTGAACCTTAAAAAAGCCAAGAAGAACATGCTTTATTCTGGCCTGGATATTTGCTTTAGGCCTAATATATCTAGTCTTTTTGCATAGTTCACTTTGACGCTGAATACAATATTCTTAATAAGAATGCTAGAGCTTTTCGACTTAACTAACGGATGTCAATCAGAGATTATTATGTCCTAACTTTGTGGTTTCTGAATTCCCAGCTTTTTATGTTTTTTTTTTTTTTCCTTCTTTTTTTATTTCAGTGGCGAGAATGAAGAGAGAAGTGAGTGCTGGAGTAAACTTTCTAAAAGGTTTGGCAGTGAAGCGTGGAGGTGTGGATCAAATTAAAGCCAAACTTTTCGCTACTAAATTACAAGAGCTTCTGCTTGAAAAGTTCTCAGACCACTGGTACCCAGACAACCCCAGCAAAGGACAGGCATACAGGTAATGTCTTAATGTCGCATTGTTATTCTTAATTCAAAATAAAAGTTCCAGAATGCCAGGTTGTTGTTGCAAGTTTGTTTAAGCATTAAAGTCATGGCCACGACAAATTAAGTGACCCGAACGTGTCCTTTCCTCTTATCGTAGTAATGCATTGATCAAGGCAATATTAAATTAAATGCGATTTAAACCTCAATAAACATTATAATTCAAAATGTGGGGTAGGTAAGATTTATTTAATATTTTTATGCTCCTATACTTAATAAGGCTGCATTTATTGGATCAAAAATAGAATAAAAACACACACTAATATTGTGAAATATTGTTAGAATTTAAAAATATATGTTTTCTTTTAAATATATTTTTAAATGTAATTTATTATGTGTTGGCAAAGCTGAAATTTCAGCATCAAAACTCCAGTCTTTAGTGTCACATGAACATGATCCTTCAGAAATAATTGAAATATGCTGATTTGATGCTCAACAAACATTTATAATTATTATCAATGTTCAAAACAGCTGTGCTGCTTAATATTTAGTCTGGAAACAGCAATTGATTTCTTTAATTATTAGAAAGGTCAAAGAAGCATTTATTTGCAATAGAAATCTTCTTTAAAAAAATTACTGGCCACAAACTTTTGCCTGCTTTCAGTGAAGAAATCATTTAACTTGTTGTCAAAGTGGAAATTATTCATACTCTACATAAGGTAATATCTGAAAGACCAACAAACCTACATAGCCACCATTTACAATATGAACTTTTTTACGCTCTCCTGGATTTCTCAGATGCATCAGAATAAATGACAGAATTCCCTGGGATGAGTCGGTATCACAAGCGTGCATGGAGAGTGGCTTAAAGCCAAGGGAGTTGGGCTTTCCTCGGGAAATCACAATGTGGATCGACCCATTGGAGGTGTGTGTGCGGTAAGTTGAATGATATTTTAATGAAATGCTTGATATGATATTTTTTGTGAAGTACGATAGAAGGGTGTGTTCACACTTGTAGTTCGGGGACATTTAGTCCTGGTCCGCTTAGCATCCAAAACAATCTGTGTGCTGGGATAAATACACTCATTTACATATGATGGTATTTTGACCAGCTGAGAACTCGTTAAGAGCTTATAAAATGTGTAAAAGAGTTAAAATAATGTCAGGAATCCCTCTGTCACACACACTTGATCTGCTGCGAAGAGATGCAGTTCTGATGTCTGTACCAAACTGATGGCTATGACGAGAAAAAACAGGTATGCTTGAGCATTCAGGCCTTTTTAGGGTCGCATCTTGTGACATCGTGGCCTGTTTTTGGTTCGTTTACATGTATTTGGTTCATGCTACATTCATATCATCATTCGAACTGCGCCAGAGTTGGTTTGGAAGCCTTGGTCCGCTTGTTTGGTGAGCACCAGGGTTCGGATGGCCGCATTCACACTTATTCAAATGAGCAAATGAGGGTTCGTTTTAATCGAATCAAGTGTGAACACACCCTAATACTAGTTATATTAAATTAATGGTTTACATTCATATGTTCCCACAGGTCTGGGGAGAACGGCAGATATTTTACAGTGGCTCAGTTTGCTGAAGTCGTGGATGATGTAAACCACTTGAATAAGGATGACACTTTTACCCAAGTGGATTCTGTGAATCCGGATACATCAGACTACCACTCTGCTACCTCATCTGACTGTGGCTCAGCAGTCTCAAGTGATACAGAAGAGGAGGTGAAAGAGGACGAAATGAAAAAAGTGGAGAAGAGAACAGTGGGGAACACAGTTTATACAACGAGATTTAAAGCAAGGGAGCCAAAAGGGCAACGCAAGTTTCCCACAGCTCAGGTAAAGATGAGTGAGGAAGGCTGAAATGTTGGAATTACTAGCAAGAGCAAAAAACCCATCCACCTCTTCCTCGATGTTAGAAACCAACTGTTTTTATATTCACTTCTTGCTAGATTTGTTTTCAAACTATGATACCTTTGAATAAAAGGCCTGAGACAAGTCTTAAAACTGACATTGTAAAATATTTTCTCTGTCATTAACAGATCCCTGGCCCGCAGTACTTTTACAACCCTGCACCGATGTGGCCTCAGTACAAGAAAAAGAGAGGCATGTTCTTCACGCCCGTATGCCCACCTGCTCCGTCTCCTTTGTTTGCTTACTATGTTGTACCCAAAGCACCTCCTCAGTTCATTGTGCCTCACGCTACCCTGCAAACCTGGGGGACAGTGAAAGGGTAAAGAGCTCGAAATCCATTAGCACATACACCTGGTATGTGAGAGAATATTTATAACGTATATGCCACTCTGCAGGGAACTTTATAGCTTTTCATAATGAAATCGTATGCATGAGATATAGACAAGCTTGCCAATTATTTAACTTATTGATATTAGTCATATTTTTTCAACCTTTTCTCTTTTTACCTATTTCATAGTTATTTCTTTGGTCTGTCAATATATTCAAACTGCTCTTGCACAAAACACAATCTGTTATGACTTGATCTATAACTCTGCGAAAGTTGATTACTGCATACTTGAAATTTTTAATTCATCGAGATGAAGCTTTTCCACCCACTTCTGTATTGAACGTTTAGATGTTTTGGGAAGTTTTTTAATCAAAGAATGTTTGAGAGGTATTTCATGTAATAGAAAATCTGGAGTGATTTGAAAATCAAAGTTTGAAATCAATTTGAATTCAGTGAGTATTCACAAAATATTACCAGCAGTTCAGCTCTGAGTTGTTTATAGAGTCAGCAATATCTCTGAAAACACCAAGCATCCCTTTTCTATACAATTTATTTTTTAAATCAACTCATACTGAAGCCAAATAGTGCTGTGTGGATGAGGCTTCAAATTTGCTGCTTTTAGATAATGTGAATGAACTTTTTTTCACTTTCACTAAGAATAATCACATCTGCTCAGGATGTAGAGAGGACTGCATTAATAATAATAATAATACATGTTATTTCATTAACTATGCTAGATTCTGTGCACAATTTTACCTTTGCTAAATGGTAATGATAATTTTATCCATTACCACTAGGGTCTAGTACAGATTGCCATATTTCCACATTTCAATATCTTTTATTTGCTGCAGTTTTAATGTTTTTATTGTAAATAATTGATTCTGGTTCTGTTTTGTAAAAATGCATGTGTATAGTGTCCTCATCTCACCAGTGCTGTTATACGTTTCAAAACAATTATTTAAAAATGTTTTGTTTTATAATCTACCTTTTTTTATGTAGATTTATTTAGTTTTTGAACTGTTATGAATAATTGAAACTATTATAACATATAAGTGTCTTTCAACACTGGATTTTTACTTTTGCTTTATTATTTTGTATAAATGAATCGTGTGCAGTTTTGTATGTTAAACTTATCCCACTTTTACTATTTTTACAAACTTTTGCCTGTTTTCTTTGCTCAGTCTTCAAATGCATAGGCCTATTTATTTGTAATTTCTTTCTCTGTATTCTTTATATAATGTTTTGTTGTTATGCGACTTTTGCTTCTGTTTGAGCAAAAAAAAGTCATGAAATCTGTGTCCAACTGATCTGTTATAAATATATATTTTATTACTAAAACAGTAACACCAGTTGTCTATTTTTATTTTTTATGGTTAAGTACAAATATTTACATGAATTATGATTTACATAAACTGTTTTGAAACTTTTTGTTGAATCTTTCCATAAATCTAAGTACTCTTGATGAGCTAGTTAATGAATTTGAAGTCACCTGTATTTGTATAGTGCTTTATAACAAATCGTTTCAAAGTAGCTTTACAGTGATGAACAATGCATTTTGGTTGGCTGTACAGCAGCTCTTTAATAAAAAAAAAATCATTATTCAGCTTAAGTCAGTTTATTGTTGATTCAGTACAGTTGTAAAGATCAAAAGTAAATTAGTTAAGTTAATTTATAAAACAGTTCTGCAGAAAACAGTGATGCCATCTCAGTTACATTTTCAAACAATAGTGCCGGTGCAGTTAAATCAATAATATTGTTGAATATTAAGTAAGCCTACTATGATGGTTAAAGTTTGGATCTCTGTAACCTCACTTAAGACCTCCTAACCTCTGAAATCAGGCGAAATACGGTGAAAAACGTTCTAGAAATGTATTATTCTTCATGTTCTCCTAGAGTGAGTTGGACAAAGCACTTATTGGGTTGGTTGTAAGTTCTGTGCAACAGGATGCCGTGGCGGAAGGATCCACATAGGGTGAGTGCGTCACACTCACATGGCCCAAGGTTATGACGTCATTCCTAAAGGAAGACAGGCAAGGACTTGAGCATAGAAATAGAATCTGCTTCAGTTCATTGAGTTTGAACGAGTGGGATTGTATACAAAGAGGAGAGAGGCCAACAAAGTTTGTGGCCATACTTGTCTAGTTTCTGAGTTCCTGTCCCTCCTTTGTTCATAATGGAAGTGGCAGTTTAATATTTCATCTCCCAAATGGTATATCTGCTCATTTCTGGACAAGGGAATCTCCTTTTACATTTTTTAATTTATCCGACGCTTTTATCCAAAGCGACTTACAATTGCTATATGTCAGAGGTCACACGCCTCTGGAGCAACTAGGGGTTAAGTGTCTTGCTCAGGGACACGTATCTCACAGTGGATTCGAACCTGGGTCTCACACACCAAAGGCATTAAATCAGCTGTCAGTCTTTAAAAATTGTTTACCTTTTTCATCTTTTTTTTTCAACTGTTCATCAACTGTTGTGGGGAGTAGTTGGATAAAGGGATAGTTCACCAAAAAAAGTAAAATTCTTCCATCATTTATACTCATCTGTTCCAAACCTGTTTTAAGTTCTTTCTTCTTCTGAACACAAAATATATTTTGAATAATGTCAGAAACCAAACAGTTGTTAGACCCCATTGACTTCCATATAATTTTTTTCTACCTGCAAGCAAATTATGGGGGTCTGACCTCGATTTTGAGGCTTGTCCCCCAACAGGAACTCTAGTCTACATCTCAAGTAAATCATTTAAGTCAAATGTTTCAACCACAAATATGGCCACTTGTTTACCATATCTTACACTTGCTTTCCGTTATAATCACTGGATGGTATTAACAATCATGACAAACGTTGTAAAGTGGGTTAGTTGCAGTTGCAGCAAGAGATGAAACAGGATCTAAGTGAGTGCAGATTTAGAAATAAACTTCACAAAACAGAATCACAGGAACCAGGAACAGAAAAACCAACAAAAAAACGAAGTAGAACTGAAAGAAACACAGGCCTTAAATAGACAGCAAACGAGAAGGGACACAGACATAAGCAAAACAGATCAAAAACAAACTCTAAACAGTCACACGGAACAGTTTGCTACCCCAAAACAAATACGTCTAGTCTAAAATATTTTTTAAAACGTCTAATTGAAGCACTGGGAAGTTCACGAAACATTTAGTCTTGCACTACTACAAGTCTTCCACTAGAGGTTCCCAGTGGCTGCGAATGTAGGCTATTTAGTGCTTTGCTGAGAGAACAAAGATTCAAAATTTAATTCTAACACGTATGGTGATTTGCTTGGAGCTTAGTATAATTTCAATAATTTCCTTTTAGTCGCATGATACATGATCTTGTACTGTAGTCCTAGCTAACTCCGTATAAAACTTTGCCAAACGTAAGAACAACATATTTCTGAATTTCATTACAATATCATTACAATTGCAACAAACAAAGAATTCATTTATGTCATATTCATCATATGAGGCAACACTACTTCAAGACGAACTACTCCATCCACAGCATACGTAAGAGGGCTACTTCATAGTGAAGAGTTTCAGAGCGCCTACCCACAGACCCGTGTCGTGTGGCTGCAGTCAAATGTTGAGGCGCGTACAGTGTGAGTGAAAGATCGCAGGTAGGAGCGCGCACTTCACTTTGTGCTTTGTAATACTGCTCGAGTCCAACCTGCTATGCCTTGCGAAATTTTGGTTGGAGAGGGGGAAGGATAGAATGGAGTACAAGGCGACTGAGGTCTGTGTGGACTGAAGACAAGAGCGCGCTATGGAGATGACCGCTCGCCTCGCGCACTTGGACACCAAGGTGGATGGCAGAAACTGTGATGGGCTCGTCAACCATAACGGAGAGGCGACAGAGATAACAGTACCGCTCTCTCACACGGGGAAAAGACTCAGTCCGATCGAGGGGGGAAATCTTTATAGACTGCGGGACAGAAAGTTCCTTTTGGAGGACAAGAAGCGCCTCTGCGCGTGGGCACTGGGAACAGCGTTGTTAGGCATTCTGCTGATGGTATTACATGCTGAGCTGTGCCCAGTAGTGTATAAGCCAGTAAGTATACAGCTATAATGAAATACTGGTAACGGTAGCGCGCTTGAGACAAGTGGTGCAATTTATGGATGGAGCATAAGCTCTGGAATTTAAAGGGTATAATGTATTTAATAAGAGGAAATATCACCCAGATTTAAAAAGAAAATTATTTTCTTAGTTATTTAGAGTCTTTTATTTAGGCGTACACAGGGAAAAAAAAAAAAAAACATTTAAAGTTCCAAAATTACGCACGGCAAGAATATTTAACTTTAGTTGTAGTATAGGAAACTAAAATGTTGTTGCTTAATATCTTAAAGAGAGTTATGCGTTACACTGTAAAAAGTGGATAAATTGTTCTTAATGCACTTGTTTTGTATTAGCTAACAGTTAACACATGAAGGACATTTTTAAGATAGGCTATACTTTACAAGTCATATTCCCTGGGTAGCAGGTTGATCAGAAGAGGAAACATCTCTAAATGATAATCTTGACTTTATATAGCAGGTCTGTTTGGTCAAATATGTTTCTGTTTTCTCAAAAAAGAGATGCATTAATAATGTTAAGTTGAAAACAGAACATACAGATAAAGCCCAACGCAACAAGAGTTCCCATGTAAAACCACTCCTGTTAAATTCAGAGCTGATGTCTTTATCAAAACGCTTCCCCAAAGTCCATCTCAACTTTGGCACATAAAATGACCTGTTGGTCAGTGAAGCCCAATTAACACAGGGAATCAGATAGCCTGTGCCCTGCAGTCACTTATGACCCGTTGTGTCCCAAACTAGTATTTTTATTGCCTGACATTTAGCAGGAAATTTTAGCCAACACGAATTACAGTGCATTCAGAGTTTGCATTGTATCCGTTCACGCATTCCGTGAGATTTGAACCTATGACCTTGGCGTTACTGGCACCATGCTCTAATACTGTCTGAGCTACAGAAATGCATGTTTATGTTTTTATAATATAGACACATATATTTAGGATTTTTTAAAATGCATTTAAAATGAATTGGTACATCTTGTCATGATTTAAAACAATTTTCATTCATTTCATACTTTCACTGATTTGAAGATTTAATTCAATGTACTTTATATTTTTGTGAGAAAAACTCTGTAAACATCACCTTATTTTCTTTACTCATATTTACAGTGTAACATGTGTCTAATAGAAAATTAAAACAAAAGTTATTTATGATTGATAACATTATAACGGTTCTACATTTAAACATTTAAACCAAGTATTAATTAAAAAAAAACATAAAACAATGTTAATTACATAACATATAATCTCTATATTAATCTAGTTTTGCAGTCTCACCCTGAAATAGGTCAACATGAGTGACTGAAGAGTTTTTACTCCCTGACTGACTACTAATCAGTGTTTTCTTGATTTGCTGTAGCAAGTTTCCTATATATATATACGTAGCATAGCCTACTTCTACAACCGTGACAACTTACCATTCTCATGGAAACCAAATTATACAGGAAAAGCAGCTATTTATGCAAGTTTTTCCACATTTTGTCCCCCCTCCCTTTGTGCTGCTCAGACTGCCTGTTGCATCTTTCCACACCATTTAGTGCATAATTAGCGCCTGTTTGAATAATGGATTTAAGTGTTGACCTCAAACGGGACATAAGCACTATGCTGATTTTCACGTGTTATCCTGTCCACATAATGTGGTGGTTGGAGCGCTCAAAAACAAACTTCAGCTCTACCCCCTGTAAGCTTTACCTGTTTCCTCAATGTTGCTGTTGCATTCATACACATTAACATGAACACCACACAAAGAAATCATTCTTTTTTTTTTCTAAAATCAATATTTGTTATTTTTCTAACACTATAAGTGCAATCTATACCAACAAAGCAACTTTATCTATTCAATATCTATAAATTATTTCTAAAGATGCTTATCACGCTTATATAGGGTTAGACTTTGTATTTAAAGGAGTAGTTCCACTTTTAAAAAAAAACTTTTGCTGATAATTTACTCACCCCCATGTCATCCAAGATATCCATGTCATTCTTTCTTCAGTCAAAAAGAAATGAAGGTTTTTGATGAAAACATTCCAGGATTTTCTCCATATAATTGACTTCATTGGGAACCAAACAGTTCAAGGTCCAAAAGACAGTTTTCAAGAGCCTGTTTCAAAAGCCTGCCTTTTGGAGTCAATGTCTAAAACAGGCTCCGCAGAGTTATCTAAAGTTAACTTTTTTTGCTCAACTTAACACAGCACGACACAAAAATTCTCTTCACTTTTTAGGTCACCCCCTATCTGCGATTTAAAATCTAGGTATCTCTTTAGTATTTATTTACACTGTAAAAAGTGGCTCTTATCTTAAGGAGCTTTTTCTTGATCAAACTCTTAAATGTAGTTTTGTTGATGTAACACAATCCATTTAAGTTTATTAGCCACATTTTTCAGGGTAATGTGTTTGTTATTGCCGCATGTTTGAATTTAAAACCGCTCAGAAACTCATACCATTTACCATTTTCAGAATGGTAATAATTATGTCATTTTTGCCCATTTTCTTCTGGAAATGTAATGACATTTGTTCTTGAATTTGCATAGCAATGCATATACTTGTTTTATGGAATTTTTGTGGCATTTGTATGGAGAAGGACCGCTAACAGAACGATCTTCCAGGCATGATCATTTATTTAAGCCCACCATTCTCTTGGAAAACAGGTTATGCAGGAAAATTGGCTATTTATACAAGTTTTTCCACATTTTGTCTCCCTCCCTTTTGTGTTTCTCACACTGCCTAAGGTCATATTGCATCTTTCCACATCATTTAGTGCATAATTAGCGCCTGTTTGCATAATGGATTTGAGTTTTGACCTCTAATGGCATATAAGCTTGATGCCGATTTTCACATCTTATCCTCCCCACATAACAAACAAAAAAAAGAAAAGAAAAACAATCGTCCTATTGCTGTAAAAATTAAAAAAAAAAATATTAAATAAGATTACAAAAAATCTTAAATTGTTGACTGTGTTCTACAAAGAAAGCACCTGCATCATACATGACGTGATGATTAAACAGCAGAAATTACAGTGAAATACTTTCACTTTTTGGCTAGTATAGGTATTTAATGTATATCTTTTGTATTTAAGTAAAATTCTTCAGTTCTCACATTGACAAATAGCACCACACCGTAACCTGTATAGCATAATTCACTGTCATTCTGTGTATTTTGTCTGTTCTCTCCAGGGATCCATATATGCCCTCTCCATAAACGGTCTCATCAGTTTCTCCACTGGGTGTCTGCTCATTCTCATCATCGCCTTCCATTATAAAGACATCAGAGTGAGTGTTTTTGTCCAATCAGTCTTTTTAACCTCTGAATGTCTGAAAATATTACTCTTAAAGGGACAGTAACCCAAAAATGACAATTCTATCATGTTTTACACACCCTAGATCCAAACGCATTTGACTTATTTTGTTCTGTGGAAAACAAAAGATTTTTTTGTCCATACAATGAACATTGATTTTTATTAACAGTTAGAATTTTCAGTCAGAATTTTCATTTCAGAACTTTCATCCTCCTTTATTGTTAGCTCCGTTTCTTTAGTTTCTTCCATTGCAGTGTCACTTATTTGAATAAAATGCCTCTTGATGTTATCTTGTCTGCTTCAATAGAGACCATATGAGTACATATGGCATACAATTCATGCTAGCAATAAGATACAGATGAGACTTCACACAGATGGGATATGTTTATCTTATGATATGTAATGTCATGTCCCAATGAGAGGTGTTAAAGTACAGGATTAAATGGTGCAACCCATACATTCCAAGATTCTTACCCTTAATCAGTGGCATGGGGCACCGCATGGGTGTGCAGCATTTAGACACAACTTTCTACTCTTCTTTATAGTTCATTTGAGGCAGTTTCGGCGTGTCGAGAGCACATATTGTAACGCAAGAACACATCCATGTAATGCACAAGCATGAATTTCTCCGCTTGCAGACGGATTTCCTTCAGTTGAGCACAAAATGCACACATTCAATATACAGTGTTCTCATGGCTATGCGTTCGCTCTGATATTGCATGTGCAATATCTTTAGTATTTTCTTGGAAGTCAATGTCTGGTTACCTACATTCTCTAAAATGTATTCCTTTGTGCCCAGCAGAAGAAATAAATTCATACAGGTTTGAAACAACTTGAGGGTGAGAAAATTATGACAGAATTTTCATTTTGAAGTGAACTTTTCCTGCAACCACTAATTTGTACTGGAAAATATTCATTTGATTGTGTGACTACAGTTCCTGACTGTCACATTGGGTTAAACAAGAAATAACATTTATGTGTTTTATATGAGGCCAGTTACAAAAACCTGACTAAATTTGAACAGTGTCAAATTCAGACACCGCTTCATAGCATCTACAACTGCAGCGTAGAGATAAGAAGGGAAGTGTGAGGAGCAGGTGGGGCTTATCTGAACTCCTCACACTGAGTCAGCAATATGGGGGCCAAAGATTGGTACTGACAAGTCAGTTACACTTCACTGTGTGTTTCTTGTTGTGACTCATTAGGTTAAAGCAACTTAATTTAAAGAACAAAAGAAACGGAACAGAAGCATTGAGAAAGATAAAACAGGGGAAATGAGAAAGTAAAAAAAAGTGTGATAGATGATAGAGTCTTCAAAAATTGTGTGTCAAATAAACATCTTCTGAAATCTGAGAAAGTCTTACTTTGAGAAAGCATGTCATTTGGCCAAAAGCCCCCTGCTAGTCTTAAGTACCTCAGCACATGTCTCCATCAGCCCACTCTGCCAAAACATCACCTGCTTTTACACGATCTCACATCTCCCTCAATTCACCCCAACCCCCACCCTATTCCCTTTGCCTGGCATACACTTAACTGTGTTCCCATCATCACTGTAAATTCCTCGTTCAAGGGACAAAATCTCTGGTCAGATTAAATCTCTGTCAGTAGCAAAAAAATATACAGGATTTTGTATGGGCTAATCTATTTAATATCATAAAATGAAAAAATGTACTCCATATTAAGGTCAATGGTTTTCAAAGGAAGACTGCTCAAAGTCATGTTGAGTATTGTTCATTTTTTTCAGTTGTGATTCCTATCAAAACAGGATCTTATGCCATTAACCATGTGATGCCAGTGTTATCCATAGTGTGAAAAAGGCTAAAAACATCCGTTAAGCCGAAGTCCGTAACTTGTTTTGTGTTCAAAATTTACTTAATAATAAGCAAGTACATCATGAAAGCAACATCATTTTTTCTGAAATGATTATATATATATATATATATATATATATATATATATATATATATAAACAGTGGTGGGTTCATTGATTTGGGGGCCCCAGACAAAATATAGGAATGGGGCCCTATAGCCTACGATTGCAGACATTTACCTGGATCAACCGGCACATCTCTGATGGCGATACATCTGTTCCACGATTGGCCAGATTCACCGCATGACAACAACCCCCTGTGTTTCGCGTTTAATCCGACCTTCAGTTCCACCAACTCCGACTCCCGTCGATCGATTGCATCCAGTCACAGTTGAAGTCGAACGCACCTGAACGGAAACATAGGACACAGAACTAAACGTGTGAAAACCCACCCAAACATACAAAAGAACATAGAAACACTGACTATCCTTTACACTACTGTGATTAGATATGGTATGATTTATGTTACAGTTAAATAAATAAGCTGCATTTGGTGCAGGTCATTGTGAGTTTTCCTTTTTTGTGCCATTTTCTTATTATTAACTTTAAAATGGTTAAATCTATTAATTTAACTTTTTCAAATTTTACGGCAGCTGGAACTGGTACAATAAAAGTGTTGCGGTTGTACACTTACAACCAAATTCTGGTCCATGTAGCCTACTTTTCAAACCTTCTGATGTAATCAATCAAGACGGCTGTTGATTAATATGGTGTTACTCATTTTCAGCTCTAAGTCATGTTTGATATTTTTCGTGTCATGTAATTAATGAGGCATTCACTTGTGATTTATGGTTTTGAGTAGTTTCACTGACACACTTGTCCTTCACAAGCAAAACAGTTTACAGCTGGACGTCCCATCAGGGAGGGCGGGGCTGTGTTTATTTTGGCACCGTTCTCACAGCGAATCAAGAACGTCTTGCTCACTTTCTCGTCTTCTTTGCCATACTTTGTTAATCATTGCTTCCTTATGAGATCAATCAAGTGATTCTCTTGTTGATACACATCCTGCCTCTGTTTTTCTTTCCTTTCTTCAAGCTTTTCATCATTGACCACAACCAGGTGGACTGGCGCATTGCCATGACCAGTAACCGAGTGCTCGGCATCTCCCTGGAGCTCATTGTCTGTGCTATCCATCCTGTGGCCATCTACCTGAGGCCAGATATGGGGGGCAGACTCGGGGGGAAACCAGAGCAAAATTCCTCTACCCCCCTCTGCTTGTCCTCCAGCCACAAAGAAGTCATGCTCGATGTGGAGCTGCTGCTGTCGGCCCTCATGTTCCTGAGACTGTATCTCGTGCACAGAGCCGTCCTGTTACACAGCAAGGTGCTCCTCAGCGCCTCTTACAGGAGCATCGGCTCCCTCAACAACATCAACTTCAGCTTCCGCTTTGTGCTCAAGGTGTTAATGAACAAGTATCCGGCCCGCACGCTGCTGGTCTTCATTATGTTATTCTGGTTCTCCGCTGCTTGGATGCTGCGGCTCTGTGAAAGGTACAGAATGTGCAATTACTAGAAGAGAAAACACATATGCAACAGTGTTTGCTATATTTTTTTTTCCATTCGCATTCAACTCGTTACAGCTCATCAAGTGTTATCATGCTGATTCTGATGTTGATGGTCAATTTGAGTTGTGGTCATTTCTTACAACTAGATTTATTTCAGGAACAAATATGTTGTTCTTCTGCACTCAGAACTCATTCTTCAATGTCAGTTTCAAACAAAACATTCTAGTGTGTTGTTTTTTTTCCCTTCAGTTTAATTAGATGTTCTGAGTTTTTCTTTTGTTCTGAGTTATTGACACAGCTGCTCTCTGTCTCCACCTATAGGCAAAAACAGGTCGAGACAGGTGGCATGGACACAGCACTGTGGCTTATAGCCATTACCTTCCTCACAGTGGGCTATGGAGATGTGTCCCCTCACACCAGCTGTGGGAAGTTGGTGTGTCTCTTCACAGGCGTCATGGTAACTTTAATTCCTTTTGAGACAAATGCACTAAATTATGAATTTATTGACAACATAATTAGTTTTTGTTGTGCTATGTACTATTTATGAAAGTGCAGTATTTGTTAGAGTTTTAAACATGTTCAGTGAAATATGTTTGCTCATAAAAGACAAAGAGTACTAATTATTCATTGAGCTCCATATCTTTGGTTTAATAAAGTAAGAGGTTTAGCATTATCATATGACTTTGTAACCATTGTTAGCTTGACCCCATTATTGGTCTCTCGACTACAACTAGCCTAGTCGTAACTGCGACAATAATTCAGCTATATATTCATACCATGAATAAGTCACAACAATGATGAAAAATGACTCTTGTGCACTGGTTCATTTTAATGACTGGGTCAAAAAGATTCAGAAACTCTCTCGTGAACTTTGAACCGTCACTGTCTGTGAATCGTTCAGAATCGTTTACAGCTTACTGCATGTGAACCATGCATCGTTTTTTTTGTTTTTTTTCCTATTAATAACGAACCAGAAACGGTGTTACTTTAGATTCATTACATTTACATATTCACTTAATCATTGTTCATGTGAACAATGGATAATGTGAACATTACAGTTATTGAGTAAATGAATTACGGTTTTCTTAAAAACACCGCTTTAGCAAGTGTGCATGTATGTTGTTCGTAAGTCTTTTTGCCTCAAATTGCAAACACTTCTTTTTAAAAATGTAAATCAGTAGTTGTCACAGCTTCTGCTTTATCACACATACAGCATTGTGACTGAGTTATGAGCCCCACGTCCATCTGGACACGTTTTTTACACAGTTAGCTGTTCTTCCTGACAGAGATACTGTCGGATGATGCTGCTGACAGTTTATGATTTTAAATAGAATCATGGTCTGTGACATCTCACATATAGAGGCTGTTCAATCATGATTAACAAACAAGTAGGCTATTGAGAGGTGATCTGAATGAATGAGTTGCATTTTAATATCCAAAAAGTATATATATATATGGGCTGTCAGTTTAAAGGTGCCGTCTGGAACTAAAAATCCAAAAATATTCCATATTTCATAACAGATGGGGGCAGTATACCTCCAGAAAATGTGTTGTGCCGCTGCCGCACGCACTCATTCACGTCTTCAAACAACACAAACGAGCGCTGTTTTGCTCTCTTTCTCCGCATATTATTCAAATCATTTGACACGATAGTAAAAGGTCGGAAGACCGCAGTTTCAAATGGAGCATTTGGAGATTTTTAGAGATCAGAGACTAAATGAACAACATCTCAACAAATGATGAAGACCGACTCATAGACGCCTGTCTCAAAAACAAGCTGTTGCATTTCGACGATATGGGAAAATAAAAGCCTGCAGGCTATTATTTTAAGTTTACGGTATTCGTTTTGTTCATATTACACTTTTATTGTTAGTTTGAATTAATTTGACAGACAGCATTCGCTGATGTTGATCAACCTAGCGAAATTCAGAGCTGCCAGCTCTCACGAATTCACCGTGAGACACATGCAATTAACACTTAGCAAGCAGGTTAGTTAAGCTCTCAGATTCTGTCAATTTTATTATGCAATTCAAACAATAAATACCGTTTTGGCGCTTGTACATGTTACACCACAGATCCCTAGCGCACGTGAACCGATCTACTACTAGCTAATGGAAAAAGAACCCGAACACTGTTGAAAGATACAGTATGCTACAACTTACCAAAATGTATTCCTCATGCATAATGTCAACCAATCATTTTTTGAACTCTTCCCTGAACTGAAATGTAGTAATGGGCTGTATTTCCACACGACTGACATCAGGTTCAAGTACACACACAAGCCGGGGCGCGAGCGCGACTCACTCGTGTACTGCAGTTTGGCTGGTGGTAATGTTGCCCGGCCGCATACCGCCTCCCATGGCCGGAACTGGTATTACGACACCTGCCGGGCCGGGGCTAGTCATTTAGCATGCTAATTTAGGTTTATATCTCGGCAGCACTATAACTTGTCAGTTTTTTAATTACATTATTGCACTTATTTCTTCTCATTCTTTTGATGCGTGTAGCTCATTTTTTGGATATTTTTACCTCAATTATTACATATGGCACCGGTCTTTTTGTCCTAGCAAACTTTGTAGTTTTTTCACATGCTTTTGCAACAGGACGCGGCATGCGTCCTGATCCATTTCGGCGTCTCGCGCTCGTCATCTACTCAAAGCCGGCTCGCAAGCCCAAACGTGTGTTTGCGGCGTGCCTGTTGTTTTCCGTTCTAGCTAGATCCGCTTGCGCTTTGGTCGAAGAAGCAACAAAACGTCCTCGCGCAGCGCAAGCCATTGAAATGAATGGGTTCAGAGCCAGCGCGAGGACGTTTTTACGCACACACTCGTTTCGGCTTGCGAGCCGGCCAAATAGGAACGTTACGTTTTGAGTGGATGACGAGCGCGAGACGCCGAAATGGATGCCCTTAGAAGATTCTGAATGGAAAGTATACTTTTAAAAAGTTGCCAAATTGTCCCATTGACAAGACCATCTGTGTGTTTTGTCATTGTGAACTGAGCGATCACCATCACAGCAGCACGTCCAGTCTGAAACACCACTTGATGATGGCCAAGCAAACACACACACACACACACACACACAGATGATGCGAATTCTCCACCCCCTTGTCAATATCAGGACCTCGTCAGTATTTCTTTCACCCTTTTATTGATAGACAGTGTTACATTGTGTGAGAGATTATTTATATGTTAGTGTGAAATTGAACACTATTCCAATATTATTTTCAATAATAATAATAAAAAAAACATTTGCACTAAACAAGCCGATCCACTTTTCCATGTTGACAAGAGCATTAAAATGAGAAAAAAAATAATGTAACAAAATTAAATTAAAAGACATTTAGAATAGATAAAAATGTGCGATTAATCGCGAGTTAACTATGACTAATGCGATTAATTGTGATTAAATATTTTAATCATTTGACAGCACTATATATATATATATATATATTTGTCTTGTTGTATAATGTTGAAATCATTTAAGGCATTATGAACGTTTTTAAAAATGGATTAAATATAAACTCTCAGGGTTTGTGTGCATCAGGGTGTATCTTAACATAGAGTTCAGTAAGTGAAGGAGGGAGGGAATGATTTAGCAATACGATACACAGATTGTTCTGTCTGTACTTTGGTTACACCCGTACAAGATCATTTCAGGCTGAATCACTGAAAATCTAGACGATACATATGAATTTCATGTCAAAAGTTTACAACAAGAAGCGTATTATGTAATATTATTTTATTTAAAAAATTTGAGTATAAGTATTAAATATAGTTTTATTACATAATTAAAATTGTTTAAACATAAGGTCATTTTAGTTTGTGCATTTACTAACATTAGAATAAAAATCATAAAAATACAACTGTCTCTGTTGGTTCATGAACCGATGTTCATTTTTATAATGTATTACTACATTTTTAATTGACCAATATTAATAATGCTTTAGAAGTATTCTTCATTATTAATCAATGTTTACAAAAGGAACCTTTTTGTAACGTTTTAGCGAATGTTTACAGTGACGTTAGAGCCTGTGCCAGTATGTGTTGTGAATTTGTGGTGTATGTTCCTGAGGGTCGGGTTTCCAGCCTCACTGTGACTTAGACAGCTGCATCTGCACCGTACTGTCCGCCCTTCTCTTCTCTCCATCCCTCGTTTCCGATCAGGGCAGATAAGCCGGCAGGATAGGAGCATGGGGCTCACACGACAGGAGCACGGGGCTAAAGCCAAAGCCAGACACCTCCCTGACACAGTGGAAAATAATCCTTCACTCTTCTTTCTCTCCCTCGCTCAGTGCTTTTATAAGCTTTCCCCTTTTTTTAGGGAACATTTTCCACCATTGCCATTTTTAGGTGGTTTATAGCATTTGGCGCCACTAGATCAGGAGGGTGTGCCAACCTGTGCCTAAGACTTGGAAAACCAGAAAACAAAAAGTTTCCTAATCCAGTTGGAACAGTATGTCAACAGTTCATTAGTGGGGGATTGCCTCTCACCTGTAGTTCACTCAAGCGCAGTGTTCAACATGCCTGGTTGCCTCATGTAAATGCCTCCTATCACTTTCTCCACATAAAGACGAGATTTTAACGACTTTCCAATGGCACGATCAGCTTCCATCATCACCTGTTACCCATTAACTGGAAGTATGATGGAGCGTCTGTGTGTTTGTTTTGCATACCTGCACTGCAAAAAAAAAATTTAATCAGTATTTTTCTTGTTCCACAAAAAAAAAATATATATAATTACACAATTTAGTTTTTTTTAAATTGATCTGGTTAGAAATGACTAATTGTTTTTACCTTGCTTTAAGCTTAAAACTTATTAATTCTAATGAGCTAGAAAACAATAACAGACTATAAGAAAACAGACAATTGTATAAGAAACGTAATTTAATATAATAAATTCTTTGAAAACATTTCCTAAAATCTTTTACCGTTTTGCGTCCTGAGTAGATATATACAATTTCTTTTTTTTTTTTGAAAAACAAGAAAAAAATACTAGTAAAGAATTTCAGTGTACCTTTTTGCATCTTGCATGAATTCCAGAAAATTCTTCTTATAGGGTGGGGACAGTTCAAAAGATGAATGTGTATCTCCATATTTTTGATTATAACACCCAGGAATTCACATCGTCTGCCAGCAGAGGAAAAGAGCATTGAGGGAGAAACTCTTGTGTTCAAATGTGGATTTTGCTTGTTGAATTGATTAATTCTGGCTTAATGAGATGATTGACTAAGGGGAGTTTTGTGATTATACTTTACCGAATTCCTTGACTGCTGTGAATAATCAACTATGGAAAAACTGTAGGCCCTTTTAGTCAATACCATGAATCAACCTTAAAGCGAACGGATTAAACCATTGCTTGCTAACTTTTATTTCTTTCCATAACAACTAACTGGCTCTCTCTCTCTTTCTGTCTCCCTTTCTTTATCTCTCAATGTTTTTTTTCTCTAATGCAACAAATTAAGGAGCTCAGGTAAATGAACTAATTACATGGAAACATTCTAAGCTTCATTCCACCACAGAATAAAAACAGTTTTAAAGATAACCTTTTTATCTCACAATTGCATGATATAAAGTGGAAATTGCGTGGTAAGTCAGAATTGTGAGATATATAATCACAATTGCATGTTATAAAGTCAGAATTGCGAGATACAAGCATGCAAAAAACGAAAGCCAGAATTGCAGAATTTTATTCCTCACAATTCTGACTTTATAACACACAATTCTGACTTTACAACTCGCAATTGTGACTATATCATGCAATTGTGAGATACAAAAGTCTGAATTTCGAGATGTAAACTTACAATTGTTAGATAAAAAAGTGAATTTTGAGATCTAAACTCACAATTGTGAGATAAAAATTCACAATTTTTTTTGTTCTGTGGCGGAAACAAGCTTCCGTAAATTCCCCATAGAGACACACACTTTTTATAATGAATTTTTTCTATTTTGTTTTTGAAAATGGATTTGAATAAAACAAAGACTATTATATTCCATTCCGCCGACAATTATTTATACACTTGTTACAAATAATTCTGTGTACTGTCTGAATATTGTATGTCTGAGTACATGTTTGGGATAATGAGACAGATGGTAACCATGCTCATGTCTGTGTGTTTGTTGTCAGGGTGTGGCATGTACTGCTATGTTGGTAGCAGTCATGACTAAGAAATTGGCGCTTAACAAAGGGGAGAAACACGTGCATTTCTTCATGATGGACATTCAGATCTCCAAGCGGGTGAGCACCACAGTCAAAATGCCACTCTCTTTCAATTCTTTACTGTCTTTCCCCACACCTGTGTACTTGGTCATTTCCTTATGACCGATTTGGTGGTGATAAAAAAAAAAAAAAAAAAGATATGTTAATGATAATTAGACTTAGCTTAGCCATTTGGGAATGCTTAACTTGATCTTTAAAAATATCTCTCTGTTGCGGATGAGAAACATAAAAAGCAGTGACCCAGAGGATGCAGAGGCATGGATGGAAGCAGCATTATTTTCCGCATTGAACGTGTGTTATGATTTCTGAGGCTTTTTATAATATTATTTTTTCCTTAAATAGGGAATTCCAAACAGCAGCACAGTGTGGGAAATGCTTAGGTTGGCCAGGCAGAGACGGCCGCTGAGCTCTTAATAGCCGACAAAAGGCGTCAAAGGGAGGAAACAATCAGGTCCCTGTCAGGAAAAGAACTTGTGTTAGCCCATGAGAAGTTTAACTGCAGACAGGAAATACGATGCACTGATGTGTGTCCTGTGAGTGAGCCTTAGCGTATGTACTGGGAAAGAAGGGAGGAGAGAAGGTCTTGATGCTGAGGTGGGCAGGCGGGTGGCTTACGCTCCTCTAACAGGATCCATCTGTTTGCTTATCAGAGGAAGGAGGAGAGACCCCGAAATAAATGCATAGAGGAAGATGGTAAATGCTTAGAGTTTCAACAAATGGACGGAAATCATATTGCTTTGAGGAGGCAAGAATTGACTGAAAATTACGTTGGATCGTTTCCCACCGCTGAAACCAAGTTCTTAAAGGAACATTACGGGGTTTAAGCTTAATCGACAGCATTTGTCATAATATTGATCCCTCGTGTTTCCCTTGTCCCTCATTTTCAAAATGATCAAGGACCTGGGGAAACTAGGAAAATTACTTTTGGGCAGTTGTAAAAGTTTGTTTAACATTTATAAGCAAAAATATTGAACAACTATTTAAATATTATTATTATTATTATTATAGGCTAAATAAGTTCATTATATATAGTATGTTATATACTGTATATATATATAAATATAGCTATATGTAAACTTTATATAAACCTAACACTAAAACCATGTTAACACACATATTGTTTATATTGAGGCAATATATTGAAAGATTATTTTAACGTTAACATATTGGCCACATTCATTTCTATCATGATTGCCTCACCTAAAACCAATTTTAATTGTTGCCAATGATTGTTTTAAGAAAAGGACGGACAAGTGGATGTAGATTTTTTTTACCTCAACATGTCACACATTATGTGCCCAGAATATTCCTACAACATATTCATAAAGGTCTGGACCTGTGCTTTCAACTTGGCAAAAGCTATTTCCTGTCACAGGTTTTGTTGTGTTGACGTGTGTGTGTGTAGCGTGCCACAGGTCCAACTCATCAGATCCTGCAATGATTTACCTTGATGATACTTTAAAGGAAGACATCTGGACACACTAATAATAACCACAAATGCACAAAATTGGCAGGGAGGTTGTGACATCATTATGAGCAGGTCTTCAACAGGAAGACACAGAGACGATAATACAATCAAAGAAAGTAGAGAACTGTGTGATTGAAAAAGAAAGCCGTTTACCGTCCATAACCCATATATAACTTCAGAATAGCTATTCTCATCCTCAAATCACCCTCAAAATAACCTATACTCATCCGTCCGTTCCTCTCTTTCCGTGTTTGTTTCCATCAAGGCCACTTCTTTAATAAACCACACCAGTTTCCTGTCCATCCTGTCCAGATTTTCTAGTAATACTGTTGTATTTTGCCATTTACACATCACAATCATCATAACTGTTGTCGGTTGTAATTTAATGGCCAGAAACGTTTACAGTAGATTCAGTATTTTATTTGCTGAACAATTTAAACATGCAACTGTTTACTTAATGAATGGACTACAGACTGGCAATAGTGTATCATTGTATAGTTATGATGGATGGATTACTTATTATTGAAATCCTCCTCTCTGTGGTGCAGATCCGGCACGCAGCAGCCGATGTGCTGAGAGAATGTTGGCTACTGCATCGCACCACCCAGACGAAGGACAACAGCGGAGAGCATCGACATCATCAGAGATGCCTGCTGGAGGCGATCCGTGTGTGAGTGATCCGTTACAGTGTGCATTCAACCATTAGACATCAGGCATAGACAATCACTACAGACATTTTTTTTTTTTGAGAAGGTTTTTTTTTTTCATCTTTGGGTTGCTGACAAAATACTTTTGGGCAATTGAAAAAAATAAATATTTGAAAAAAATAATGTGACACTTTATTTTATATGTATATATACATATATATATATATATATATATATACTGTATATATGAAAAGTGCCATTTGAAATTTTCTTCTAGAATGATCATTTTTTATCAAGCTTGTATATTTAAGTTCAGTGATTTCACTTAAATGGCAATGATAATTAGATATTAATTGTTATTTAAGTGAAATTACTGAAATTAAATATACAAGTTTGATAAAAATCATCATTAATGGATATTGAAGCATGGTCAAAATGCTTCCCAATGTGTCAGTTAGATGATGCGTTGGGATGAGAATGGGCTGATATATATATATATATATATATATATATATATATATATATATATCAGCCCATTCTCATCCCAATATATATATATACATATAAAATAAAGTGTCGGATCACATTATTTTTCTAAAGCGTCAATGTTGAAGCGTGGTCAAAATTGTCAGTAGATGACATTCAACACATTCTCATCCTAAAAAGTCATATAACTGACGTTTTGGGACGTCTTTTGACCATACGTCAATATTCGCCTTTTTAGGGTCCCCTTAAACGTCGGTAGATGGCGATCCCAGGCCGTCATACAACTGACGCTTTACCTTTAACGTCAGTTAGGAGACGGTTTAGGTTTAGGTCTGGGGTAGAGTTAGGATCCCATAACCTCATCTACCGACGTTTAAGGGGGCCCTAAAAAGGCAAATATTGACGTATGGTCAAAAGACGTCCCAAAACGTCAGTTATATGACTTTTTGGGGTGAGACTGTGCTGTGACATTTAATGAATTAAACATAAGATATGATAAAAAAAATATTCACATGCAATTATTGCCCTACAAAGCAAAAAGGCAGTAACTGCAGTTTTGGTAAAGCATTAATTATTACAATTTTCATGACATTCAAGCCAACCTTTGTTATATGACAAAACATCTTATCTTAAATGCATGTCGTTTTAGTGAAAAATGGTAGTCGTTTGTACAGTAACTGCAAAAAGCCCTAGCAAAAGTCATTTTTCTCAGCTCTGCACTCTGCGTAGTTACTGCCTTTTTGCTTTGTAGGGCAGAATAGGTCACCAATCTGGACCATCACCTGGACTATTTTACTATTTAAACCAGGGGTGCCCAATCCTGCTCCTGGCGATCGACTGTCCTGCACAGTTCATCTCAAACCCTAATCAAACACACCTGAAGTAGCCAATTAAGGTCTTTAGGATCACATTCAGGTGTGTTTGATTGGGGTTGGAGATGAACTGTGCAGGACAGTCGATCGCCAGGAGCAGGATTGGGCACCCCTGATTTAAACCCTATGGACACTGGGGTAGGACATTGCTTCATTGCTTCGAGGGAACTGCTCATATTCCACTTGGTCATTTTCTATAAAATCATACATGACAAGTCAGTTTCACAAAGCATATAGGCTATATGTTCTTGCGGTTGTTTATTTTGTAGTCATTGCAAGAATAGCAGTTTCCCATCTCTCAGCAGGTTGTTGAGCACTTGTTTACAGTATGTCCTCACATCATCCCGCAGATAAAGGGCTGGGTTTGGATGCAGTTCCAATCCTATATGACCTTAGGAAGCTATGATGTATGAATCTACACCAGAGTTTAGGATTGTTAATGACTACAGGAATCGGGCTCTTAGAATGTCCCATGTGTGTATGCATGAGATCTGTGGCTGTAAGGGGTGGAGGGATTTCTTACTTCCTGTTTTACAGTTAGCAGAATCACCAAAAATATTCTGGAAAGAAAGTGGGTGCTGCCGTGAAAGCTAAAACGGCATGGTAGCAAGCAGACCGCCACATAGTTTGGAAGTCATTCTGGTTTGTGCTTTTTGGTGTGTTTCCTTTTTGCTCCAATGATACACGGTCATGTCTGCATGCTCTGTGGCTGATGGTTCCCCTACAATAACTGGTTTCCGTTTTGCTTTTTTGGGACACAACATATTCAGAGACATCTGCCAGTCAGCCTGTTGCAAAACCTGACTTACACAAACTTTCATTACTTGAGATTACAAAAGAATATCTTGAATTTAAAAAATTAAAAAATTACATTTTAATAAAAAATTACAATAAACACAATAAAAAATTACATTAAGTGCAATTAATTCTAAATATAACTAACGTATGCGAGAAATGATACTTTAACTCAATATTTGACTACACTACACCACACTGACATTTTTTCTTTTTTAAAACAAAATATGAAACTGGCAGTCACAAAACTTTGACAAATCCAGGGTGTCAATAAATTAAATATTAATAAAAAAGCACCAGTCAAGATTCTGTAAGAAATGCATACAGGTCTAATAAAAATGAATTAAAGCATAAAAAAGGAAAAAAATGAAAAATATATATTTATAAAATAATGAATAAAACTTAAACTAAAATTTAAATATAAAAAATAAAAGCTAATTCAAATTTAATATATACAAGAATAATATACACTAATATCAATACTATATAAATAATATAACACTATTTTGACCCCACTTTTATACAAAATTGTATAATATATTTTATGAACCTATATGACCATCCCATGTAAATTACATTACTGAGGATTACATGCAAGATTTATGAAGAATACATGGAATATTAAACAATTAAAGGTTTATTGAAGAAACACGACACCCTTGCTCATTTTGCCCCCATTTTGCATATGATTATTAGAGGATTGATATCTCCAACATGGAGAAACCTAGCAGACTAAAGTTCATTGTACCAGGCGATGAATGTCAATAAACGCATGTCTTTGTCTACAACTAGATTTCGTCACTTGCGGTTGAAGCAGAGGAAGATAAGGGACTATGCCAGTGAGATGGTGGATCTTTCGAAGGTAAGTCAAGACATACATCAGACTGGTGTCTAGGTCTGTTTGCCCTAATAAAGAGGCATTCACTTAACCCAGACATATAAATGTTCTGTGAAACCATAAACATCTCTGTAAAAACTACCTTAATGTCTGACAGTGTCTGGTGTGCTACTAATGGCTGTGCACATAAAAAGAAAAACAAGACTCATGACAGTCACCTTCCAGAGATTGTACCTCCCAATTTTTTTTGTGAGAAATGAGTGAGAAAATGACCGAATGTCCAGTGTCTTATTATACCTATGTGCTTATACACTCGTGAAATACAGCTGTAGCAAATCTAAGAAAAGGATATTGTCTGGAAATGGACTTTGTCCTCAAACAGATGCAGATGATCATGTGTGATCTGAGTGCAAACTGGAACAGCTCTTATCATGAGCTTGAACAGCGAATCATCTCCATGGAGCAGAAGCTAGACGAGCTGGGACGCTCCTTCCAAAGCACCTCTGAGCTGCTCACACAGGCGCTGCATCGCCGTAGACTGGACCACAGGTACACTGTACAAAAATAACACAGATTATTATTATTAAAAAAAAATAAAAAAAACAGATTATTAGAGTACGTATTGCAAGAAAAACTATCTTTCTTCTTCAAAATGTCATGTTGCTTGCCCTTTCTTTGTAATTATCTATGAAATTTACAAGGAATTTCTGAGTGAAAATTGTTTCTACATCAATTTTTGAGTGCCATCAGCAGTCAACAGTCTGTCTTTATGTGCTTATTATGGTGGCCAAGAGAGGTTAAAGCGCTGCAACTGAAGAAAACATGCGAAAAGAAATAACACCAGTAAATTAAGAAAACATTTGTATCAGTTTGACAAAACGTGTGCTGCAAATACAACACAACTAAATACAGAAATAAGCTGGAAATACTCACAACACAACCATAAACAGAAACACACAAAACAAAAAGTCAAAACAACTAAATACAGAAACGCACTGCAAATACCAACACATTCTCATCCTTTGGCGTCATATAGGTGACGCCATATGGCATTTCGTCGAAATACTATGCACATGGCACCCTTTAGTGTCAATATAACACGCACTGTTGTGGGTAGGTTTAGGTCTGCGTCTCATATTGACGCTAAAGAATGCCACTCACCTGTATGACGCCTGGGTTCTGCGTGTTATATTGACGCTAAAGGGTGCCATGTGCGTAGTATTTAGACGAAATGTCAAATCTCTAAAAGGGGCAAAATGACCACGGGTGTGGTGTTTCTTCAATAATCTTTTTGATTTGGCATCACTTATATGACGCCAAAGGACGAGAACGGGCTCCAAATACTCACAATGCAACCTGTGGTGGAAATTGTAAATTAAAGTAACCATGTTAGACCAACATCTGACCTCATTTAACATCTAACATTTGAACAGAATGTACTGTTCGAAACCAAGGGAAAACTTGTGACTTTGAGTGCGTGTGTTTGTGTGAATATACTGTAAATGACAAATATGGGAAATGGAACTAGACAGATGTCTAAATTCGAAAGCAAAACCAGAGTTTAGTCATCTAGTAACAAGAGGGCTTGTCTATTAAGAACCAATCAATTTTTCTTCTGGGAAGTTCTCTGAGGAAATGTTGAAAACTCCCGAGCGTCATTTAGAGGACATTTGCTGAAGTCTGTTTGTTAATTATTCCTGCGCATTAAGTAAACTAGTTATTTAGCGAATCAAATACTCACAACACAACTAAATACAGAAACGCACAGTACTCACAACACAACCAAATACAGAAATGCGCTGCAAATACTTATTGACGAACCTGGCTGGGACATGCTTATTATTCAATGTCGTCAGTAATGTTGTCGAGTATTTTTGTTTAGTTTAAGATCGTGATCGTATGTGCATTGAAAGTATTTGCAGCGCGTTTCTGTATTTGTTGCATTGAGTATTTTCAGCACATTTGTTTTCACCGATGAAGATGTTTTCTTTATTTGCTAATGTTTTTCCATTTGCATGTTTTTCCTTTGGTTGCTGAGCTCTCTTGGCCACCGTAGTTTATCCTTAAAGGGATAGTTCACCCAAAAATGAAAAATAACTCATTAATTACTCACCCCCATGCTGTACCAACCCCGTAAGACCTTCGTTCGTCTTCGGAACACAAATGAACATATTTTTGATTACATTTGAGAGCTGGATCACTACCACATAGGCACCCTAAGAGATTGAAACTTGATGGCCCAGAAAGTCATTGAAGAAAATGTTTAAATATTCCATGTGACTACTGTGGCTCAAGTATAAGTTTATCAAGCGACGAGAATACTTTTTGTGAGGAAAAAACAACAAAAAATAACGGGGCTGGGACGAGAGTTCAAGAGATTTCCACGACGCATGCGCGAGAGCTACGTTATTTTCCTAATACTTCTTGTTCAGTTCTCGCGCATGCGTCGTGGAAATCTTTTGAACTCTCGTCTCAGGCCCAGAAGCAAGAAAAGGAATAGTCAAATAAAGTCGTTATTTTTGTTGTTGTTTTTTCCGCACAAAAAGTATTCTCGTCACTTGGTAAACTTATAGTTGAGCCACTGTAGTCACATGGAATATTTAAACATTTTCTTCAATGACTTTCTGGGCTGTCGAGTTTCAATCCCTTAGGGTGCCTATGTGGTAGTGACCCAGCTCTCAAATTTAATCAAAAATATCTTCATTTGTGTTCCGAAGATGAACGAAGGCCTTACGGGGTTGGTACAGCATGGAGGTGAGTAATTAATGACTTAATTTTTATTTTTGGGTGAACTATCCCTTTAATAAGTACGGAGTAAAGTCTGGCTTTGTCTCTACACAGGTGACCTGTGACATCTCTTTTGGAAGGCCATCCTCTGAATGTTCTTCAATCAAACCACTTGAACCGGAGGAGGATTAACAACCACAGCAGACATCTTTTTTTATTTAGCTCTGCTATGCCTATTTATGAACATTTCCTCAATTCTCAATTCTACAAACATGAAATTGAGAAAAGGCCACTTTTTGGTTACTTTAAACTTTTTACCATTGATTTAGAGTTTCAGTTCATAATTGATACAAAAACTAAGAGATATAAATTCTGGTGTTACATGAAGAAACAAATTCTGATTTCTCGTAAAATAATAGTACAGGTCTCCGAGTGATTTATATCATTGTGAAAGTCACTGAAAGGATGTGGATTCTTCTATTATTCTTCTATTTCCGAACTGTCAGTCTCTTATAGACTGATCTAGGTGAGACTGGGGAAGTTCACCTGAAGCTCAGATGTTTATCTCAAAATTGGGAAGTAAGAATCAAGCAGAGTAGCTTGATTTTAATTTTATGTCTCTAATTTGATACACTCTTTTCCAGTTACATTTAAATGTGCATACAACCTGGGAATGACACATTGATGAAGCTTTCTGAATCTTAAGCCAATTATAGTTATGTGCCAAGGATAAACCAGACTTCCTCACTGACTGTTGCCCTTGAACACTGTTATTTTAAAACGACCCTCATTTAGGCAGAACCTGCACCCATAAAAAATCTGGGAATGACTTGAATTTCCATCAGCCCTTTAACCTGACAGGGCATCTGTTGAATGATGGTATGTGGCGGCTCTAACTACACAATGAAACGTTTTTGTACATTATGGTCTTCAGAATATTGGTGTAACGGAAAAATCTTTATTGCTTGAGCCTGTTCATTAAGAAAGAGGCTGTCAGTCCTCTCGGATAACTCCTCCTGGTGGACAAAAGTGTGTGCTGCAGATTCGGTTATCGTTCCTATGAAGACCATGCTTAGGCCTTGTCCTTTATTGTTTAGGATAAATAATTTTCAGAACAGACTGAATACCTAGATGTATATGCAGCATAGTGACTACATGAGGGCAATGGGAATAAAAAGAGAGGTCAGATCTGTTTTATGTATTTCTTTTCCAAAAAACAGGAACTTCATCTTAGGTGTACCGTCTTCAACCATTGGAACCTGCTGATATATGAATGGCACCTTACTCATTATTTGACCAATCATTAACCTTTGCTGTTTTTACTATTATTTGTTTGTCAAAAACAAACATAGAGAAGCAAACCAGAACATTTTTTTTCTTTTGTCTTAGATTCAAGATGATCAGGAATTCAGTCTTGCATGTTGTATTGTGAAATCGACACAAAAAAAATGCCAGGAGAAAATGACTGAAACAACGTTTACAGCATTATTTTTGCACATTTTAATAAAGCCATCTCATGTTAACACAACTTTGTGTTTTCCCAACTATATTATGATGAGTAAGCCTAAAAAACACAGCAAGAGATTCATTTCTCTGTGTATTTATGTGTTTTATTACAAATGGGTTAGGATCAATCCTTGACGTATGACACAAAAACCCTATAAAAATGAAGAAAAAAAGTGTTGTGTTTCTTTGGTTATTAATAAATGAGAGCTCTCAATTAGTGAGCATTATTTTAGTAGTCACATCCACTCAACTCAACTCAAAATTTATACACGCTGATTTACCAAATCTACCAAATTATACCAATGTTCACTTTACATTACATGACACATAAATCTTATCATTAGGGCTAAAGAGTCACTATTTACCATTTTATGGATTTGGTTGTCAAAGTCTTCAGTCTAAAAAAAAAAAAAAAATCTGATCCACCACCGTTGTTAACATAATAATAGAAACATTGTGCGTACAAAAATCATTTAGGCCAAAAAAAAAAAAAAAATGCAGTTGATTTGCAAAACAGACGAGTTTTAGTCTTACTTGTGTCTCATTTACAAACAATTCTTAGAGAGACAGATTTTGAGATTTTTCTAGTGCGTTTAGAAAGTTTTGAGTTTTTAAGCATATGCCACAACAGCGCAGACGGCCTCGCAAACATCTGTCCACAGCTACAGTCAAAAGCCGCCTTGCATTTCTTTTTCGCTTGCTTGCCTTTTTTATGCTTCCGTTTGTGCCAGGTCAATTCATGCGCCCCTTCGAACGTATTTCCACACCGTGAACAAACAAATCGGACCGACTCCGCATGCTGGACCTGGTGCCGCAGTAAATGCAGCTGTTGCTGGAACGACCTTCCGCACTGACATTTGTACAATCTCGATCCACGATGTAAGTAACGATGACGCACCCTCAGCGATGGTTGTCTCGAGACGGCACCGCAGTGGCGGCAGGGGAAGATGGTCTTGTAGCGCCAGCTCTTCTCGTGTCGCTTCTGAAGAGCCAAATCCCTGCTAGGATTCATAAACATGGCCACTACTTTTAACGGAGCCTGAACCTGGGCAGGAGGAATCTGAGGATGGTGGTTCCCGGTAAGAGCACTCACCAGGGTGGGAAAGGTGACTGAGGTCATCGGCAGGACATTTACAGGTAGAGGTCTAATATTAGCCACTGATGTTGGTCTCAGAACAGGTTTGTTGGATGACAGAAAAGTGTGTGCAGAGACAGTGCAGTGTGCAGTGTTCACAGTGGGCGAGAAGGATACGACGACTGAATTTGGAAGAGGTGGATTAGAAAGGGTAGGGATACGTAGAGTCATCCTGGCCGGATTTGACAGCAAGGGACGCACTACAGGAGGTGTATGGACTGGAACTTTCGGGCGAGCAACACAAGACCTTGGAAGGAAATTGGGCCTAACAAGAGTTTGTTGCAGAGCCACAACTTGTGGAACCAGATTGGTCACCTTAGCAGTGCCCAGGGGAGTTGTTTGAAGCAGGTGTTGCAGCGTCAGAACTTCGGTTGATCCCAATGGGACGACCGCAGGTGGAGGATCAGGAGTTGTTGAAACGCTGTTCGCTGTCGGAGTTATTTGGATAACTTTAATGGTATTCTGACAGGCATACAAAGTAGGGGCAGATGGTCTTCCCTGACCGCTGCTATTAGATAAAGGCACTGTGGGTAAATGGGATACCGAGGTAGCCGGCAAGTTTGTTTTCCCTGTAGGTCTTTTCCTACAGATGTGATTTTTGAAATTGTCCAGTCTAGGGAAAACATTGTGGCAGAACGCACAGATATACCCAGCTGCTGGGTGTTTTGCGATCATGTGCTTCATCAGCAACTCTTCAGTCTCACATGCCATACTGCACAGACAGCAAGTAAACATCAGCTTGTTCCTGCAATCATCCATGTGCTTCTCCAAATTAGCGAATTTGCCATAGCAGCAAAAAGGAGAATCAGACTGAAACCCAAATTTCTCTGCAATGTTGATTGAGTCTAGATTTATATTTGCTGATGTTTTCCTGTTGGGCACCTGTTGCTTCCCTCTCTTTATCTTTCGGCGATACCTGTAGGAGATGCATTTTAAGCTAACGTCGTCGGAATCTGAGCTGAGGTCCTCGTCTGGGTTGTACGCTGTGTCACCAGGGGGTAGAGAATCAGGGTTTGCCTCATCATCAGTGTCAGTACCTTCTTGATCTTCTGCCAGGCAAATTTCCTCCTCTGCAGCCACCTCGTAAACTACAGTTTCTCTAAGCCCATCCTCATTGTCATTCTCTTCCTTCACCCTAAAACTCAGATGTTCTGGCTCTGATTGGTTCGAGGGGAATGAAGAAAAGCTGAAGGTATCAATTGGTTCGTCTTTAATAAGAGGCAATCTTTTTGTTTCTGTTTTGATGTGTGAGGCTTGATTTGTGGAGTTTGTATCATTTTCAATGCGTTTCTGGATGTCTCTGCAAGTGTCATTCGTAGCTGAGGCACAATATGAATGATCTATCATGATTACTCTTTTCAAATCAATGCAGCTTATGGTCTCTTTGATGCTAATTTCTTCTTTCTCTTCCATTTTAACCACAGCTTTTACCTCCATTGCGGCTTTCCGGTGCTTACCCATATGTCCGTTTAGATGCCATGTGCAACTAAAGACTGATCCGCAGATTTCACAAAAGAGACTGTGGTTTGGGTGGGCATTTTTTAAGTGCAACGCCAGCGACATTACACGTCCAAACTTTGCTCGACACAGGTGGCAATGCACCTCGACTGTGTGCGTCTTAAAGTGCTCTATCATGTTACCCAGGAAGGGGATACTGTCTCCACAAACACAGCACATAGAGCTTTCCTCACTTGTAACTGGCAGTGGTGCCATGTAGTCGTCCTCATCACTGGAGTCGTCTGAGAAGCCGTAATATGACGAAATGATGGTTTTGTAATACTCCTGAAAACAAAGAAAACAATTCAGAGAAAACTAGTCGTTTCTGCATTGTGCATTTAAAGGTACAATATGCAAGATTTTTTGCCACCAGGGGTCGCTAACCTCTTACAATAACATAGGCGTATATTGATGACGTATATTCTGCATTAAGTGGAATTATGGACCTTGACGTCAAGCTGATGGATCTTTTATGGATGACTGAATACATTGATGTTTTTAACATGACTGTGGTATGAAGCAGTGCGCGATTGCTAGACGTATACCAGCGCCAAACGCAATTATTCGCATTTCATTCTACCGAACAACTTACAGATCATATTCTAACTTTTCATCATGTTGAACTGAATAACATTGATTAGTTTGCTCACCATGCTCAACATTTGCTCACCTGTTTAATAAAGTAACCTGCAACACTCGCGTCTCTTAATCGAAGTTAGTCGCGGACGTGGAGCTCTCTGCATTTCGAAAGATGTTGATCTTCATTTTAATCTTCTTTTTGTCTCAAAGTCTGCTTGCTATGGTCCTTAATGTTTGAACAAAACAACAACAGCGTGAGCGTCCTTCTAGGCATAACGGGCATAACCGACCCAGTCGCCATGGTTACTTTTGCCGTACGAGGTCAAACCTGGCGGAAACCGGGGGTAACGCGGATATGACGCCATCGACTGGCGACTCCTCACCCCTGCTTACACGCCCCGTTTCCTTGGTTAAAATCGCAATTTTCTCACGATTTACTAATAGTTTAAAACATTTGGAATATTGTAAGTAATCAACTAAACAAAATATATAACATTGTCCTAGTGTTTTTTGGATATTTTTACTGCAAAAATCCTGCATATTGTACCTTTAATAAAAGAGCAGAAAAATGTCTTATTATCATCAACGTTGAAAACATCTGGACGGCTTAATAACCACGCTACCTTTTTAAGGCTTCTTTGATGAATACATAATTTAAAAGAAAGGCATTTATTTGAAATATAAATCTTTTGTTAACAATGTTAAAGTATTTTTCTTTGACAAAGTTTCTGAATAAAAGTAATTAAACTATTAAGAAAAATAAAAAATAAATATCTTACAGACCCCAAACTTTTGAATGATACTGTATCAGCAGCAACATTTGTATTTCTTGTCAACTAATTTTCCTAGAGAAAATGATACTTATGTAACAGAAATACAGAATAGACCGGTTTTCGTGATCTCAACATTTAGCTTAAAGGCACAATGGCAAGACTGGAAATACAGCAGCTATGCTTTTGACTGTGCAGTCCACCAGAAGTCTTAGAACAGATGCCTAAATGTAATACTTATGTCATACTACCAAAGAAACCGATCTAAAAGCTGCTTCAGGACAAGCTGACGTAGATGTCAGGCCTATTTCTCATGCTTTATTGCTCATGTGCGTGACTGCGATGGTCAACAGATGGAAAGCATCTAATTCGTAACATTACTGCCCCAATCCAGAATGTGTTTATTTCACTGTAAATTCACCGAAAGACATGATTTGTTTTCACGTATAGGGGGAATTATTTGCAGGACTTACAGACTGTTGAATGCAAGTGTCACCAATTTGCAGCATAGGTATTTTAGCACCAGTAACACGCTCCACCTCCTCACATGGTAAGATTTCCATGCCAACTCGTATGCAGCTACTTTATACTGAAAATGGAAGAGAAAATATTGGTAACCAGCACACAAACACGTCTGACATTATTACAATCTACATATTACACACATACCTGCATTGACGTACCTTACAGTAATATCAGCGAGCTACAATAGAATAAAACGTTTCCTTCAATTTAAATCAGTTTGAATCTTGTTCCTAGAACTTTTGAGGGTGTGGTCTGTGTTTGTGCACTTATAGTATTTATTTTTCTGTCAACTCATGACAATGATTTTATGTCACGGCGGATATCACACTTTATTAATTGATAACATCTCTTAGCCTATATAAGCAAAACAGACATTTAAAAGAACAATATTTAAGTTAGTGGCAGACCTTTCATTATAGTATATTTCTGACATACTTTATAGTAAGTAAAATTAGTTGAAAACGGGAGTCTTCCTTACCAATGCGTGTACTTACAATAACGATTTCATTTATAATTTTCGTGTTTGGATTCTGGCTCCTCCCCCAGACAATGTGCGCACGCGTGGGTCCGTCTCCTAAATTCGTCCGGACAACAAGTCGATGTATTGCGCATGCGCAACATTTTTTCCCCCTTTTTTCAGATAGCTTCCTGATTACAGGTGTCTTTCATAAATTTATATATTAACTGATGTTAAGTTGCTAAAATATTTAATAAACAAACAATACGTTCAAATAATTTGTCCTATATATTGTAAATATAATACATATGATTGTATACAGTATTGATTAAATGTTGGCTTGTAATTATGATAGTTTTGAGTCTGATTAACATGAGGATTTAGCCATTTCCCCCAAAAAAATAATAATTTATACAATTAAATAATAAATAATAATTTAATTACCTAGAAATTAAAGATGAAACAAATTACATTTTTAGTTCTGATCTTATGAAACATTTACACAGAAAAATCATGCTGCAATTGCATCTAAGTTGCAAGTTTTTATACAAACACATATTTCTGAAACGTGCGCTGTATCATACTGTTTTATTTACATCAGCTGAATAAAAAAAATCACATATTTACTACATAAAGAAAAAATTTAACATCACTGAATCTTTGCACGTCACCTCTTGCAATAACAATGAGTTTTAGCAAATGACTGAATGGTCCTTGTCTGGCACCTGCTAGTTTTCATTAAAAAAAAAAAAAAAACTCAAACAATTCAAAACACCCCACTGTTGTGATCCAGGCCTCACAAAACACTCTGGTTAAACCTCATTTAGTGCTACTGCACTAATTCTCTTTGAGAACTGCCTCCTGAAATCATCTGAGAAGAGGCCCAGTCCTCTTTAACAATGATCTCACAGGTTTCTTGACACCATCCTGACTATGACAGCAGCCGACTATACTCAGAGAGTGCAGATGACTTCTTAACTCCATCCCAAATTCTAGCTGCATAGTGAAACCTGTAAAAACACATGCATCCATTCTCTTTATATGAATTCAGATGTACGCATAAATGGAAATACTATTGTTTGATATTTTCTTAATTCAAATATTCCATTGAAAATTATGTATAAAATGTACATTTAAATATAAAATTCAGTTCCAAAAGGAAGAACAGAAGCATTACCAGTTTTTCTCAGTGAGGATTGTGTGTGAGAGCTGACTGCGGGACATGGCCAGGATCTGACTGCGGAATTTAGAAACCAGTGAAGAAAAGCTGGGATGACCTCTGTAACCAGGCAGCAGAGAGAAAAGAGGGGGGCCTGAACCTGGTGCACAAAATAGACCAAATGCAACGAAAGTTAGTTCATCAAGGACAATGGAGAATCATGAAAAAGCATGCTTGCTAGAAATGAAAAATATATACAGTATCCATTATAGTGTTCATGAGAAAGATATAGAAAACTGTTGTGCCTACTTGCATGAGATCTCTGACAATACAAGCTATTTAACGTACATCGGCTAGTGTAGTGTAGTGTATACAAACTATATAAAGTACATTTTCCTGATAGCATTCGCACAGCCAGTAGGAACTCTGAAGTGACATAAACCGGCAGACAGTGACATCATTTAAGACATCATATTTAACGCCAGCGCCTGGACTTCACCGTCGGTCCATCTATGTTTTCCATGTTCGTGGGATTAGTTTGTGGAGTAAGTACAGTATGTTTACACAACTTTTTATAAATGTGTCTCGTATGGCATGTGTTCAGATGGGTTAGACCCTACTCTGAAGGAGGAGCTAATTTAGTGTCAAAAGGAGTTTCTTTTACTAAAATTATTCTCAGTTCCTGCATGCCAAAAGTGTGTACTTGTGCTAATAGTTATCAGTAACTATAAAAAAATGTTAATCAAGTGTGAAAGTTTTAGAAGTAATTAAACGTCTAATTTATAAGTATTTTTAGGATTTCACTAGAATTTAGCACTAAAAATTGATTTCACTAAAAAGACTTTCGCAAACACTTTTGGTTATGACACATAAAAAAAGATTTCTTTGGGCTTGTTTCTTGTAATGAAGCTACACTTGATATTTAGCTTAACATTTAGCTAAACAACAAATCTTTCTGACCTGCTCTTGTCAAAGCATCTTCCCCATCATTCTCCATCATAGGTAAGAGGAAAAGATTGACTTCTGCCTCCAAGTAATCTCGACTCAGTCCAGGGAATATGTTACAATCCATCATGGATAATGTGCCTTCAACAGGAAGCAAAAAAAAAAAGTCATTCAGCCAAACACCAAATCACCAATCACATGGTGTTAATGAATGTGTTTACTGTCACGTAAAGGGAACTGACCTTTATATTTTAAGTGGGAATGGGCCATAAGCTTGTCAACAGCCATATGCATCTTCTTCAGGTTTCTTGGACAGAACTCCTCCCTCCTCGCTTTGTTCTGCAAGAAAACTATGCAAATAGAAAGAAAAGTCATGAGTTAAACCCTTATACAAAACTAATTCTGTGAGCATTTGCCAGAAGCTTCATATATTATGAATGTCCATATTTCAGAACATTCATAGTTTTCTTACCTATGTGGGGGTAATACTCAGAGCCATCATCTGCCCCTGAGGAGCCGGTGCTGTCATGACTGGCAGAGGGAGTCGAGGGTTTCAGCATCTCAGCAGTCTGCAGAAACCTGGTAACGGACACGGCTGTTGGTTTAATGCAACATAGAGTCTCCAGACTCCAGGAGACGAATGTGAGTGATGAAGCCAATACATAATGTATGGGGATGAATAGGAGGGCAAGATGGGAGACAGAGGCCAGACGGCAAATTTGGCCATGATGCCAGGGTTACACCCCTATTGTGTGTGTGTATAAATATATTGTATGTATGTGTGTGTGTGTATATGAATACCACTGTTTAAGAACTTTAAGAAGTATTACAAATACACTTTTCAAATAAATGCTGTTTTTTGAAGTTTCTATTAAATCAAAGAATAGTTCAAAATGTATAGTTTTAAAATAAAATTCAAATATAAGTTATTTTTAATTGTAATTATTTAAAAAATATTTTTGTGTGTGTTTTAGTGTATTTTTGACCAATTAAATGCCTTGAGAGACTCAAAAAAAAACATTTTGAACGGTGTATATACAGTACATAGTAATGAAACTAATTGTTCAAATTGTGTTAAATTATTTCAATGTCATTTTAATAAGCATAGGTGCGATAGAGTTATTAGCATACCTATATAAGTTGATATCAGTGAACCAGTCCTGAATCACAATCACAACATGACATACAGTAAAGAGGAAGGCAGTGATCTGCAGAGACTAAACCAAACAGTTGGAAATGGGGGGAAAAAAAGGGAGAATTTCAGTTTATTTCAGATTTATTTTTTGTGACAAGTAGTATTTGCATAAGTCTGACATCACTGATAATAATAAAAGATGGCATACTGTAGTAATTATTAATATTGTACTAAATTATTTGTAAAACGGTACATAACATATAGTGTCCATACAGCTCACCTGCATCTCCACATAAGTGTGTGGGAGGTTGTATTCAGGTGGAAGCTTGCGGTCATTGTTAATCAGGTGATCCAAAATAGAAGGGCTCAAAATTGGCTGAAGATGACAAAAAGCATTATTCCATCAAGTAGCTGCATACATTCTGAAAACAGCAGTGCTCTGTGTGACTCTACAGTCTGACCTGCGTGTCCAGAAAGATGACCCTCTCCTGAGTGATGTAGAAATCGATTCCACTGCTCTGGTTCCCAGCTCTCTCCTTGATCTCCTGCGTCTGCGCTCTGAATACATACGCCCTGTTTGACATATAATTAATGGGTGAAACTCAATAACAATGAAGTGAAATACAAAGCGAAAAAATTGGTAAGAAATACAGAATCATGATGTTGATGAAGGACTAACCTCTGGTCCTCCTCAGGGCTGTTTGCAGACAGGAGAGACATGATTGTGGACTTGCCAGTGCCTTGTAGCCCAATAACTCCAACTACTAACATATCCGTCTGATCTCGCAGATACTGAGATACACAGTAAACACACATCAGCCGACTATTATGATACAAAACACAACATTATTAATTTATTAACAGAATACACATGCCCTTGCCTCCATAGCGCTGTCACACCAATTCATTTGGTCATCCACCAGCTTAATGCTGTGCTTCATCTTCTCAGGGGGGAGGAGCTTAGTCTGGCCAATCACAGCTGAAAATCACACAAAAAAAATTATCGAAAACTAAAACAGACACATAATAAGTTTAAGCTTGCATGTGTAAATATCTGTGTTGAAACCACCACTGTTATTATAAAGTCTCAAATACTACCAACCAGAGATGGAAACTGATGTTCAAATGATTGAGCCTGCCATGTAAAATGCCTTCTGATTGATTTTAGAATAATAATGGTCAAGCAAATGTAAATTCAGCCGTTTATGTTGAATACGCTCTTGAAAATGCATAATCATAATATTGAACAACTTCAAAATTCTCAATGGAGGTTAATGAAAGTTGATATTTATGGCACTTTAAAAAGGCAAGTCTACATTTTTTTTCCTTCCACCCCTTGTGTTATTATTGGATGTTGTGGGAGTTATATGTACTGTGGTTTTGCTATGTTTAACAAAAATCCAATACATTTTTTTAAAACATTAAAAAAAAAAAAAGAAGTTTAGTCAATTTTGATTTCGTGGTGACTTTTAAGGTCCCGATATACTTCAAGTGAAATTGAAGAACGAACCGGTGTGACGTCAGTTTGAACAAAATCAGCCCAAAAGTTTTTTTGGTGTTCATTTTGGTGATTAAAACAGCTTGCCAAAGTGACCTTTCCGGAAAAGTTCAATCTGGCAGGTAAACACCTTCAAACTACCATTAGTCTGTGGTGATTATAATAGGTAGGTGTGGCTCTGAGGCTCCGCATTCTCCGTGTGGGGTGCCATCGGTATGTTCACTAACATTATATCGCTGTTTCCGTGTTTCAAACTTCTTTATCCCCCAAAGTGATGAACGAAAAACAACTCCGCCGTGAGTATAGCGGGGCCTTAAGGAGAGAAACGTGAGAAAATTACTGACGATCCACAGCTCCACCGGACGCAGCTGAGCCCATGCCTCTGTTCTGGATCTGATACACAGGTTGAGTTGGCCGCTGACCTTCCCTCTCCAGTTTGACAGTTCCTGCACCTGAGGTTGAAGGAGGCACATCAGCAGTGTTCCCAGGTTTCCCCCCTTCATCTCTGGTCTTAATGAGCATGATCGGCTTTTCCAAAGATGCGACAGCTCCAGTCGCTGGAGCACTTGGTTTGGACTGAAATCGAACCAAGACAATATTATACATCAGTAGTTATATATACAAAACAAACCTAAGCAAGAATGAACTATTCACTTATATTGTTTGCTTGTGTAGGATAAACATAAATTATATTTATACACTTATTCTCTCTCCAGGAGGTTTAGCCAGAATAATGGGGGTCTTCTGTAGATGAGGTCCTGTAGCTTCCTCACTCCCATCCTGAGAATTCATGATAATAATTTCATACACATTTTAGAAAGTTTTTAAAAACACAAAGGAGGGCTAGGGGATCAATGGAAAAACATTAATAAATGTATCAAAATAAACAAATAATACAAAAGTGTTCAAATTTCAAACAAATATTAGTTTTAAAAAAATAAACAAGTATTTATTATTATTATTATAGTGAGGAACGTTAAGAGTAACGTTAGGGGAAAAAAAATCTACATTTTTTTCACATTTATAATATTAATTATACATTTATAATATGTTTAACTCATCTTTCAAAAATCATGTTAAGGTAGACAGTCCCTGTTTTGGCACAGAATCTCACCCTGCGCTCACGGGGAACATAGTCTCGATCCCGACTGGGGCCGGAGAGGTTTTGTCCAGGCGGTCCTGGGTCTCGGTCTCGCCGTCGTCTCCTCCTCCTTCCCTGTCCGTACAAACCGGGCTGACTGTGACCGGACTCAGACATGCTTGCTTGCTTGCTAGATACTACTATTGAGTGCTGGACTTCTTACTATTATGACTATTCTTGCAAAGCAGTTTCTTAATGTTCAAAACGAGTAACGTTAGCTATAGTATTTGCCATTCTAACTTTTATACAGTGTTAATAAGGCAGGGCATTACATATCAAAACATATTAATAACTAATAGCTCACATGTTCGCACTGTAGATAGCCTTTACTAACTAATTAAATGACTAATTGCTCATTTATATTTATTCTAGAATATTGTAGTATTAAAATGAAGATGTCAGCGTCCACAGATCCCAGAGTGTTGTCGGTACGAATCTGAAAATAGGCCGATGAGGAAACGCAATGTCGGTTTTTCGTTCCGATCATTTGGTTCATAAAATCGCATGGGCAGTCATAAAATAGGATTGCATAGCCTAATATAAATATAACATTGTTGTATTTATTTTAAATAATACGTTTTTGCCACATTCACGATTAAAATTTGCATTTTTACGATTCAGCGGCCATTTTATTTTTTTACAGAAATAAAGTTTAAATGAAAACAAATCATGTTGCGACGATAGAAACAATTCAGTAGCCTATTATGACAATGTCTCACCATCAGTCACGCCGCATCAGTCACGCATGTCGTAGTGCACACAAGCATCTTTACAAAAATTTGTTTTAAAAATGTCAACGTCACTGAAAAATGCAAAAATAGGAAAAAACTAGACATGTCATGTAAACATGACCTATGCATCCTTATAAAACGTAGTTGTAGGATAGGACAAGCCATCTGGTATATGTGTGACACATTTCATGTATTTAGTGTATAAAAAGTATAAATAAACATGTATTAACTTATTTAAATGTCTCACTTCATATTAAGTGTCTTTGACTATGTATCATTTAAATTTATAATTTGATACAATGCACTTATTGTGTAGGCCTTCATTCATGTTTTACACTGTACACATATTACAAAAATACCTGCATGTAATTACAGCAGTAATTAATTTCTGTAATTACATCAATAATTACTCTATTGACCCTTCCCTTACACCTAAACCTAACCATACCGCCGAACCTGTCATAGTCAATTCCCATATCACACATCAATAGCAGCAACACATTTTTGCCATATAAACAAGAACACAATAATTACATTACCTAAAAAAATATAAAGACATAAAGAAAGATACCTCTATAAAGTGTAAAAAAAAATCTTATTTAAACTCGATGCACTAGGTGATGTTTTTTTTTTTTTTTTTTTAATTTAACAGTCAGACATACATACAAACCAACATGGTGATGTGTTTTTTAAAAAAGGGTGATGAATGCGTTATTGACTTTATATGTAATGAATATTTTTTTCAGGGGAAGAAAAAAGTAGATATTTTGAAGTATGTATCAGCGATTTTTCCATACAGTGAAAGTCCCAAACAAACACTGTACTTCACTGACCTTCATTTCATTATATCTCTTTCACAATATATAAACACTTCACAATAAGGTTCAATTTGTTAACATAATCCATATTTCATGACAATGAAAAATACTTTTAAATTGATCATTTATTAATTTGAGATAATATCTTTCACTAAAAACAAAAACATTCCAAGTGAAAAAGTTAAAACCAACAACACATTATCATCAACCAATATTATTTTTATGAAGGTTAAGAAATGCTGTAAAAAAATGTTCATGACACCTTCTCCATAACTGATGTTATCAAGCTGAACCTCACAACTTTTCCTGTATGGCTGCTTTGAAACAATCTGTAAAAACAATTTCTGCAAAGACTTTACTTTTCCGCCATTTTTCCTCATTACTTTAGTTTCGTCCTTGAGGATATTTTCTTTGCATTCTGCAAACAAATGTACTTCCTGAATGAAATCAGACAGCTTGCAATGATCCTTGCAATGCAAACAAGACTGTGGAAATGCATAAGAACTCATCCTGGCAAGCTGACATCCTTCACTCAGTCCAACCATGGCACTGCACATCGCTTTGCTTCTCACCTGTGTTTTTTTCTCCAAAGGTAAAGTGTGCACAGTCTATTTGAAATGTGTATTTGTTTCTAACTGCTCAACTTACTCTGCATGTTTGTTTATTTAAATTAAACCTGTATAAGATTGGTGCTTCCATTTGTAAACAAATTCACACTGTATGTATTATTTATCTCATTTTTCAGCACTGACACTGCAGTGTAATGGATGTCCAGGCCTAACAACATGCACACAAAGTGTAATAAACTGTCCATCTGGTTGCGGCTCCAAGACCACAAACATATACGCATGTAAGAATAACATGATTCTGAAAAATGTCTAAGTTAGGGTTTTTGTTACTGTAGGGGTTTTAATGTTGGTCTTTGTAGATGGCAAAACAAATAGTATCAGCGTGAAGACCTGCGGAGATGTGTGTGTTAATGGGAGCATGAGTTCTGGACAAAGCAAAGTGACCCTTAACTCCCACTGCTGTAATACACAGTTCTGCAACAGTCACAATGCACCAGGTTAGTGAGTAAGAGGTCTTTTTTTCTCTTGACATTAATTTATATTATTATTAGTTTTATATAGGATATATTAATTTATACTATTTATAATTCATGTAACCTGTCCAGACTTGCCAAAACAGTCTCCGAACGGGAAGCAATGTTTCACCTGCAATGGCACTGACTGCTCAAAACCGTTGGCTTGTGAGGGTGATGAGACTCAATGCTTTATCACTACAGGTGAAGCGCTTCTTTATTAAAAGTTTTAATGAATCTATGCATAGACATGAATACCACTGCAAATGATTGGTATAGTTTTTATTTGGACATTCAACTTTACACCAGCTCTTCTTTTCTCTCAGTTGACATCAGTGGCAAGAAGGAGACGACAAAAGGATGTTCAAGCAAGTTGTTCTGTGGGCTCAACGCAACACAATCTCTGGGATTACCCGTTCAGGGCTTTGGCTTTGGCGTTTACATGAAATGCTGTGAGGGAAACCTGTGTAATGCTGCTTGTGACTTGAGAGTTCATTTTGTGATGCTGGTACCTCTTCTCTCTCTGTTTGTGTTCTGATACACGCTTTCAACAACCAACAATTTCGTTTGCAAAACATTTGTAATCTAATGCAATGACTTAAATACATTTTAATGTTTGGAAGTTGGCTGTCTGAATAAGGTGAATCGCAAGGTTTTTTTTTCTATTCTGTTAATAGAGGAGATGGAGACCTGGTGGTGGAGGAAATTGTATAATGTGCTTGTTTTTCATGTGAGCATCTTTATGTTTTACTTTTGGAAATAGTTTAATAGCATGTAAAAAATAAAGAAAGTTGCAGCTGCCTTAAATGTTTAAGTACAATCAGCTTGGATGATTAAGTCATTTAAATTACATTAAACTCACTTAAATGAGTTGAATTTTGTATAACTTAAAAAAAAAGTTGAAAATTTGATGCCGTCGATGTATGAATGAGTGAGTGAATGGGTGAATGTGAGGCAAATTGTAAAGCGCTTTGGTGGCCATTGTGTCTGTGAAAGCGCGCTATATAAATGATTTACCATTTACCACACTGTACAGCATAAAAAAATATTGTTGATTTTAACTTAAAATAAGTAACCTGATTGCCTTACAATTCAAAGTTCATTGAAATGGAAAAATTGAGTTAATACAATAAAGGAGATTGATTTAATCATGAGAAACTCAAAATATTATGCTATCTGAAGTGAACTACATTATAAGGATCCATACTACATAATGATCTAAGTTGATTTGACAAAAGAAAAAATGTTGTGATTACAAATCATGAAAATATATGACCTATAGTTTAATACAAATTCTGGAATAAGGGGCTAAAACAAATTCTTGTAAAAATTATTTTAAAGGGGTTGTATCATGACAAACTACTAATTTTCTTTGAATGTTTGAAGAAGAAGAATACAAAAAAAGCTTGAGGACCTAAAACCGGTCACACAGAAACACAACAGACCATTCCATAAGAAAAACATGATAAATAATATCTGAGACGTGAAGCTTGTGGATTTGGCTCTGCCAATGTTGGTCCTTTGTAGCCATGTGCGGCAGTTAAATTACATCATCACCATTAACTGCTATGAAATTACCAATATTTGTAACATTATAAAGAAAGATTTAAATGCAGGTCTGCAACATAAAAGTAAAAGAGAAGATAAATATTTATTATGTTTAATAGTTTTGGTTTTATATTGTTTTATAGTAAAAAATTTAACAATAATGTACTTTTCTGTCGACACAACACTGTCTATGCATTTCCCCCTTGTAATTCAGTCATTTTCTGTTAATACCTAATGTCAACACATGTAGTGTATGTATTGTTCTATACAATAAAAACATAAAATAACACGAATTCTCCATCTCTCCCTCCCTCACACGCCTATACATTCACATACCAGTATCAATCAATAAACCAATAAGTTTCAAGATTCGCTGTAAAACTAAAAAATTATAGTTGTGACACGTTGGCAACTTTTTTGTTGTTGTTGAGAGAACATCAGAGTATCAGTTTCAGCATGTTTCATGTTTCTGAGGGATTTAGTCTCCTGTCCCTCCCTTCTCATCTCAGTCTGAGCTCAAATCAAAATGGCACACTTTATCCTCTTTATTCTTATAAGTACACTTTTCTACAAAGGTAATTGTTGGATTTATTTTTTTACACACACTTTAGCATTTAGTACTAAGTGTAAATTATTTTTTTCCTTATTTGCTGTATCAATGTTTAGGCCTGGACATATATTTCCTTAAGATAGCCATACTTTGCATTATGCCATATTTTCTGAAATTTGACTATAGGCCTACTTTTCTAAAAGAGCTATTTATTTTTAAATGTTTTGTTTGTTTAAAACTGTAGTGCTTAAAGATTTATTTAGACTTGTTCGATTCCAGTAAATTGCCTAACCTGCTATCAGTGCATTCCTGAGACGTCAACTAAATGCGTTGAGACTAAAGTAGAGTGTCCTGTCGGTCAGTGTGGGACCATGAAAACCACAACTTATACAGGCAAGTTTTGTGGCAGACTCAATATTTAAACTGAAATTCACTGTGTCTTGTGTTTTTAAAACAAGTACGATGTAAATTTCTACTATAGGAAACAACCAATTGGCTGACATGATTATGAAGAACTGCTCCGTACCCCAACAATGCGTGACTGCATCTGTAAACGTTGGAATTACAAAAATAGTTATGAACAATGAGTGCTGCGGCACTGACCTGTGCAATAATAACCAAAGTCAACCAGGTACGTATAACACCAAGAGCCAATATATAGCCTACATAAGAGTCAAGCATAACTTGTTGCTTTAATTATGCATATTTCATAGGATCACCCACTCGGCTCCCAAATGGAATAGATTGCTACACCTGCAATGGAGAAGACTGCTCATCAACTTTACCTTGTGTTGACGATGAAGAGTATTGTATCAAGGCAACAGGTACGATAAAACATAAGAAAAGAGAGTAGCCTATTAGTGAGATAAAAATGCTCATAGTCTGAGTAAGCTATTGAATTGTTAATATTATTGTTTTTTCTAAACCAAACTTCAACTGAAAAGAGTCTGAACGCATTTCACTGTTTTAAGGGATTTTTTCGATTTTTTAAATTGAATAGTGTGTGTGTGTGTGTGTGAAAAATTGAAAAAATAAATGTCTCTTGAGCACCAAATCAGCCAAGATTTCTGAATGATCACGTGACACTGAAAGAAACTTAAAGTTTTTATTTATTTATTATATAATTTATATTTTTATTATAAATCTAAATAAATTATATATTTTTGTATTATAATACTAAAAGCGAAAACAGTTATTTTAAATTGTGATAAAAAGGTTGGTTAAATATAGGAGATATGATCTGAGCTTAATAAGGGAATTTCTGACATGTCATTGGAGAATGCTATGGGCGATGGAACGGTTTTATCTTTCAAAGGCTCACTGCCCCAAATAGTATTTTTTGTGCCATTGTTAAAATCAACAGTCATCATCAGTTGTTTGATCAAATATCTTGTTGTTTTCTTCTTAAAAAAAGAATGAGTGTGTGATCCTCTGCATTGCCCTGAATTTATCCCCCCATTTTATCAACAGTCAATAATGATGGACAGAAGATAATAATGAGAGGATGTGCAACCAGAAGTTTCTGTAATGGTGACCTGTCCACCAAGATCAGCCAGACCAGCACATCATCAGTGGACCTGTCCTGCTGCAAAGGACTTCTCTGTAACAGCGCACACACCACCACCGCCTTGTTTCAGCTGGGGCTTCTGATGTATGCCATCGTACTGATGTCATTCTGAGCACAGCTCTCGTCATGATGCTCCGTGAGGCTTCAATTCTAATAAATAAATAAAATCCAACCAACATTTTTATGTGTTGGTTGTACTGATCAGTTACAATTGCTAACACAAATATACTGTATTGTGTATATACTGAAATTTTCATTTAGACATTCATTTATTTCATTTTAGGCTTTTTTATATGTATAATTAACACAGCTTTGGTGAGAACCTGTTCTTCAGAAACTGGTGTGTAACAGTATTTGTTTGCTGATATTTTGCTTTTAAGAGGGTGTAGATTTTCTAAATGGAATCCAGTTTCAGTACACTAATATATTGTTACACAAATCTTTTATGCCTCTGGTCTCTGAATTGTCTTGGACAAAGGAAATGAAATCTGATGATCTCAAAGCATCTTGTTTCACCTTTTGTTTTTGCCGACTTTATTATATTTGCACAAACATACCTTTCAATACCTTAGGGATGGGTGAGAGGATTTTCAAGAAAGCCACATTTATTTGATTAAAAAAAAATACAGTAATATTGTTAATTATTATAATTTAAAACAAGTTTTCTAGTTTAATATATTTTAAAATGTAATTTTTCATGTGATGCAAAGCATATGAATTTTCAGCATCATTCCTCCAGTCTTCAGTCACATGATCTTTCAGAATTGATTTCATAACAGTCTAGGAAATAATTGTGCTCCTTTATATTTTTGTGGAAACCATAACTATTATATCATTTTTTTGATCTATTTAATGCATCCTTGCCAAATCAAATATTACTTAAAATTACAATCTTGCAGTCCCCAAACTATTAAACAGCAGAATGGCAAGCAACTGCATTTCTTAAAACATTTTTATTCTATATTTATGATTATTTTTAGGTTAAATTTTAGCATGCCAAAAACACATTCCTCAGAATTTACCCGATTTTGCAAATCTTAAAATGGCCAGAAATAAAACACCAGAGTAAAAACTTTGTGTTAAATTATTTTTTTTATCCACTTACATGAAATTACATATTTTCCCTCCAAATAACATTTATGCTTGGGTGTTCTGTATGAAAATTCCAGAGACATGACACAAAGCTAGCCAGCCCAACAGTACTCCCTTTCCTCCCCACATTAACTACTTCATAGCCACATGCAAATTAGGCAAGTATCAAAAGAAATAAATGGAACAAGGAAAAACAAAAACCATTATTGGAAAATTGAAATCATAATTGTATTTCCTACTGCGCTGCTTGATCAGTCATACGGTAACAGTGTCAAGCTTATGTGCTCTTTGTTCTTAGGGTCCTCTATACCTCGTAATTAACAGGGAATAATAAGTAAATGCCATTTGCAGGGCACCAAATGCCTGGAATAAGAAACTTGAAAGTGACAATAAATGGAATGTAACCTTTTTTTTTTTTGCCCATCATCTTACATGACGTGCGAGCGAGCAGCTCACTATTTGACGTGTGAGGCTGCTACTTTCCTAGCTAAAGACTAGCACTGCTATCCCCATCTCTACTCGAAGACGAGGGCTGTTTATAATGCAGATGCTAAATTGCAGGTGTACATAATGGCCATGACGAAGAATCTCCTTGACAGAGATTTACATACAGTATACGAATAACAAAAGACTTTGACTTGCAACTTTGCATGAGCTGAGAACTTGCCCTCACCCACATTCCTCCATGCTAATGCGAAAACCTAGAGCTCCCCAAGGAGAAAAAAAGGTTAACAGCAGACAAAACTCCTCCCCCTCCCAGCCCCCTGCCCCAACCACATCCTAACGCCCACCCGCCCACCCATTTAACCCCTCCCACCCACCTCCCATTACACAAATCCTTAGAAAAAACCCCCACAATGACATGGAAGGAAGAAAGCAAGGAAGGCGCGAGAGTAAAAGAACTAAAACAGACAGAAGTCGACGATGAGGTGGTCTCAGTGTTGATGGTGAGCTGGAACGATGGCAGTTGAATAACAGGGGAAGGACGGACAGAGTGAGACTTAGTTTTCCCGGCCCTCCTCGGCTTCTTCGCCGTCGCCCTGGTTATCTGAAGTCCACAGCTGAAAAATAAGAGGACACTAGTTAATCATGAGCACCTAAACACCTGCTTCTATTAAGAAAGTTATGTCAAAAAAAGACTGAATGCCAAAACGCTTTCCTATTTGGGTTGTCAATTAAACAAATTTTTAAATTAATGATAGAAAATAAAATTAAATATGGTATACATTTGACACCAACTGGCTACCTTTAAAAATAAATCATTCATATCTACTGCAAACATGTATAATATGTACAAATGAGTAAATGTGTACTTTGTCATTTATAATTATTATATTTGTTATTTTTTTAATGAATTTATTCTCTTAAGCTAAACTTGTTTGCACATTTTTTAGTCTTATTTTAAGTCTTAAGCTAAATTTGTTTTTATACTATCCCTTTAAAATTAAATAGCAAATATTGATGCGATTAAATCGTTTTTTATATAAAAAAAATAATAAACATAATTCAAAGGCATTTACATTACTGTGGCAGCTAATTATATGTACTTTATATAACACACACACACACACACACACATAAAATTGTGCACCCCAAATATATATTATATACATAGAAGTGAAACATCTGTATAATATATCAGAAGTTTTATTTATATAAAACCGCTGAAATATTTAAACACAAATTTTACTTCTGTAAATATATATATTAAGGCTGCACGATTAAGCGAAATTAACATTGTATCCAGCCTCTCACAGAGACTTCAGATGGCCAAACACCTGCGATGAGACGACTCAACGCCGGCGATATGTTATGCCCTAAATTATTACATGGTTAACTAAATGTGTTAATCCATGTACATTTCTGAAATGCACTTTCTGTAAAGCTGCTTTGAAACAATATGTATTGTGAAAAGCGCTATACAAATAAATTTGAATTCAATTAACATGAAATATGTATTTGATTTAACCTGCTACTAAAGATAAAACTCACTGTCAAGTTGTCCCGCAGTAGCTGCATGATCAATGTGCTGTCTTTGTACGATTCTTCATTCAAGGAATCGAGCTCTGCAATGGCCTCATCAAAAGCCTAGGAGAAAAAGATCACCCAAAAACAAGATGAGTAATATATACAAGTATATTCTGTATAATTATAAATATAATTGTGGGCAACACTAATATTTTTTTTCTCATTCGCCTGTGTGTGTGTTAAACGTACCGTTTTGGCAAGCTTACAGGCCTGATCGGGCGAGTTGAGAATCTCGTAGTAAAATACGGAGAAATTGAGCGCGAGGCCCAGACGAATGGGGTGTGTGGGCTGCATCTCTGCCTTGCTGATTTCAAAGGCATCCCTGTAGGCCTCCTGTGAATTGGCAATGATAGCTAGAGAAACAAAGAGGAAAAGTATATTTATGTAATCGCATGCATTCAGGATTTGATCATTAAAATACAATTAGTTTAAGCTTTAAGAATAAAGAACTTAACTGGTAATATTGTGTCTGCAATGTTAATAACTAAAAATTAAAAAAATATATATATATATATATAAATAAGAGGCTTTACTGTCATATAAGGGATATTTTAGCAGATTCAGTGCATTTAAATGTGGTAGTCTCTCCTGAAACTCTGCAGTGTCTAGGCTACGTGGCTGTTGGTCCTCTTGCAGCATGAAAAATAAAACGTTTTATTCAAATTGTGAATAGATTATATAGCCTACAGTAAGAGAGCAAAAAGCGCTCCCTTTATGACTGAAAATGTCAATAACAAGCAAATCGCATTGTAATTAGAAAAACTTTTGACAATCTTCAGACTGCAGAGCGTGAACAAATAATCAGTGGATACCGAATTGAGACGAAACAGTCTTGGCTATTGGGCCTGCAGTCTGCTCGTGCCTATTGACTCCCGACCCGCACTGCAAATGACCATGTCAATATTATTCCACCCGTTACATCAAATATTAGCAGTTATCCTGTGCAGGACTGTTTTCAGATCACTTTCTGCCCTAATCCAGTGAAATTATGTTTTACATTAACATTTTCCACTAGGGGGCGTTCAAGCACAAACTTTGAAGTTATTATGATTTAAGTACAGTAAGCATGGTTTCACAGACAGAGGTTAGACTAACCCAGGATTAGGCTTAAGTTCAATTAGGAAATTTGAGTCGTTTTATACGTACATTTTAAGACAAAACAGTAGCACTGATATATTTTAAGATATGTCAGTGCAAGTTGCTTTCAGTTCAAACAGCTCAAACATGCATTTTAGTCCGGGACTAAGCCTTATTAAACCTGGTCTGTTAAACCGGGGGCTTATCATTTTTAATTGCAACCTTATTTAAATCATCCAAGAAATAATTTTGCAATCTGCCAATTTACAGTTCATCTCACTCAAAACTTTTAATTAGTGTTAACTTGTTTTAATGGTGAGAAGTGGGGATCTGTATTAGAGGGTTTTTCCCTGAGACTTCCAAACCAATTCAAAAAGGAATTATATTCCCTTTCCTTCTTAAAATGGAACAGGAATGTGACAAGCTGTGAAGCAGCACTGGAGCTCCACCCACCCACACATGGGCTCGCATTCATTCAGTAAGGTGGGTGGATTCACATGTCTGCACCTGTTCCAATGAAGGAAGGAAATCAGACTGCTAACCATTTCCCTCGTAGACCTAAAGACCCTCCTTTTATTTTATTTTTTCTCTCCCTCTCTCTTTCCCATAAGTGAATCCTACTCTCTGAGAGTTTGTCAACCTCATGGCACAGGAAGGTAGCAGCAAGAGTCTTCCTGTTATGCACACTACAGCTCTGTTCCTTTCTGACTCTACCAAGACAGACAATGGAGAGCAAACCACTTTAAGGTTTATATAGAATCTCCTCTAAATAGAACCAGCCTGTGAACAAAGTAAGATTACATTACGTCTGGTAATTACTGTACTAGTTTATTAATAATTTGTTAATTACACTAACATTCAAAGGTTTGAGGTCAGTACATTTTTTTTAAATACATTTTTAGTCTCTTTTTCTCACCAAGGCTGCATTTATTTGATCAGAAATACAGTAGAACAGTAATATTGTTATACACTATATTAAACCAACTAATATATTAATATGTTAAAAACAGTTGTGATGCTTAATATGTTTGTGGAAAAATAGGTCTCATTGTTTTTCAGGAATCATGGACAGTAAGAAAGTTCAAAAGAACAGCATTTAATTAAAATGCTGTTTTGTAACAAAGTAAAACACTTTACTTTCATTTTGAGGCTAACTTTGTTACGTTTACTACTGAATTATTCACTGTGGGAGCCAAAGTTTATGAATGGCCCCCTCAAAAAAAAAACAGATCCTCTTTAGAGATTTCCGCCCCCTTACTTCCTCTCCAGCTTGGCTTCGTGTCAGTAGTTTGCGGAAACGTTACATTTTTAGCAGAAGTTCGTATGTTCACTAGCACGTGGTGGAGACTAGTCACTACCGCAGCTTTGAGAGCCATGCCGCATATTGTTCAAATGCCTACATGACTAACTAGCTAACATAATCTTGCATTGTTAACAGGATTTAAAGATATAAGGGGTGCTTTCCCACCTAGTAAATTTAAATAGACCAAATTCACTGAAGAACTTACATTTAAAAAGACAATTTAAGGACACAAAATAATCTATTTGTTTTTGCCCATACAATGGAATTCAATTAAGTCCACATCCACTGGACTTATGCTGGACCCCATTGACTTTCACTGTATGGATAAAAAAAAAATAAAAAAAAAATAATAATAATAATAATAATTTCTCAAGATATCTTCTTGTGTCCCACAGAAAAAAAGTCAGTCATTAAGATTTGAAACGGAATCTAGGTAAGCAAGTAATTCATTTCTGGTGAACTATCCTTTCAAAATTAAGGACAGACTTAACAGAATGGCTTACAGTTTTTCTCCTCTCCCAGAGCCACCTCCGCTAAGTAGCGAAAGTAATCGCCTTTCATTTTCAGATAGAAGACTTTACTTTCAGCTGGGGTCGCCTTGGGGATGAGATACTTGTCCAGAAGAACCTATGACACACAGACAAAAGAGAAAAACCATATTAGCGGTTTGTCAAATGGTTTTACGTCCTGTTATCAGCGAGTTTGAAGGAAAGGGGGAAGTTGTCCTCAGTAGAACAAGAGTCAACAGTAGTAAAGAGATGAACTGATAACAGAGTTCTGCAAAACTAGTTTGACGACATGCTGTTGCAAAAAGTGGCCCAGGTGATACCTCTCTTAGCAAAATGTGTCCAGTACTGGGATGCCATTTTCAGTAAACCATCATGTAGTCCCAACAATGAAGTTTCTAGAAAATCAGCATTCTAAAAGCCTTTTAAAATAACAAACTTGGATTGCCTTCAGGAGTGACAGACGCCTGACGGCTTGTGGCAGAACTGCAGTTTCACAGATGCTTCTGAGACTTTCTATTGCAGGGAGGGGGGAAGGGGAGAACGGGAAAATTGACTACGCCATGTGAGCTAGTGCTTGTGGAACTAGGTCATTGAGCTTGCTGGGCTTGTTTGCAGCACGACTGGCCTGATTGCTGCCACCCTAAACAGAACCTCAGGGTCAACACTGCAATACAAGTATTCAAATAAACTCTTCCATGGTGCCCTAACAAACCACCTAAAAGGGTTCACCCAAAAATGAAAATGTCATTAATGACTCACACTCATGTCGTCCCAAGCCCATTCATCTTCGGAACACAGTTTAAGGGTGTATTCACACCTGCCTTGTTTGGTTCGATTGAATCGAACTCTAGTTCGTTTGCCCCCTTGGTGCGGACCTTTTGGGCAGGTGTGAAAACAGCAATCGAACTCGGGTGCGGACCAAACAACCGAACCGAGACCCAGCTGAAGAGGTGGTCTCGGTACGGTTTCAAACGAACTCTGGTACGGTTCGTTTACGGTGTGAACATGAACCGACCCAATTGCAAGAAAGCACTGCGTCGAAAGAGAATATTGCGCGTCTTTCTGCGCGTCGTGTGTGAATGTCTAATCGCGCAAAGATGCAAAAAAAAAAAAATCATTTGCAGTTCATAAAGCATTTGCAGTTCACCACCTTTTGGTGGTGGTTGACGAGTTTCCCCCTTAAAGCGAGTGCCGAGAAAAATTATATATATAAATGTAATGAATTATTATTAATGTAAGGATAGTTACAATACAAGGATGATGCGTTAATTTATGTTAAACTGGACAAACTTAATCGCAAGCGTTAACATTGACAGCACTTGTTAGTACACAATAAGAATCTCATTATTTGAATGAGTGAACATAGCCCCTCTCTATGAATGAAAACTTTATACCTTCTCCATCTTCTGTGCAGTGCCACTTGTAACGCAAAGTTGAGATGTTGCCCAGAGATAAAAAAAAAAAAAAACAGTAGATGGTCGAATGAAAAGATGCACGAGAGACGAGAGTTGTCGTATTTCCCCGCGTTTATAGAGCCACTCAAACGTTACACTCGTCGTTTTCTCAAAATCCGAATTACTTCGTATAGATGACATTGTATCATATGATACTCATTAGTTTCTTCATATTGCGTTTGTACAGAATTAACACAAAATTAGTAAAAGAACAAATATTGCAGTATGAAATATATTGAAATATCTCCATGCTGAGCCTTTTTTGCACTTCCTGATTTCCCTTGAGAATCCTTGTCCAATGAATGGACGACCTTAGCACACGTGTGGTTTGGTTCACAAATTTTGGTTCACTTGCAAAAAGAGCAGTGTGAAAGCGAACCGTACCAAAAAAAAAATAGTTAAAAAAAAATAGTTTAGTCCGAGAGTTTTCTGTCCCTCTTTTGAAAATGTATGTACGGTATACTGTCCTTGCCCAGAAAGGAAATAAAGACATCATCAAAGTAGTCCATGTGACATCAGTGGGTTAGTTAGAAAGTTTTGAATCATCGAAAATACATTTTGGTCCAAAAATAACAAAAACTATATTCAGCATTGTATTGTCCTCCGGTTCTGTTGTCAATCCGCGTTCAGTGATGTGAGCGTGTTATCAGTGCGCCCGAGTTTCGTTTACAGTCTGAGGGAGACGCACCCTGTAAACGAAACAATCTACGCAAACATTTGAACCCGAATACACGGACGCACCAGATACACGTCAGTAGCGTCTTATATCATCACTGCGGACTTGTGAGTGCGGCATGAAAACAGAACCGAAGAGAATACAATGCTGAATAAAGTCGTAGTTTTTGTTACTTTTGGACCAAAATGTATTTTTGATGCTTCAAAAAATTCTAACTAACCCACTGGTATCACATGGGGTTACTTTGATGATGTCTTTATTTCCTTTCTGGAGAAGGACAGTAGATCGTACATACATTTTCAATGGAGGGACAGAAAGCTCTCTGACTAAATCTAAAATGTCTTAAAATGTCTTGCGGGCTTGGGACGACATGAATCATGAATGACATAATTTTCATTTTTGGGTGAACTAACCATTTAATGATAAACACTGTCTCACTGGATTCGATTGATTCTGTCAAGGTCATTCTTAAATACTATTCAGAGGCATATGGTTAAGAATCTCAGTGTTCTGTGGCCTCATTTGCATCAAATATCAAAACGACAGGAATTTTTAGGTGCAAAGCAACCAAAAGATCTGTTTAGTCATTACAACTCAAATGAATAATTTAACCTTGTTAAATCACGTCACTGATGAATCAATGACCTACTTGTGCTTTCAATGGTGGGAGCAATGCATAGCATCATTGTATTATGTAGCTCTTTATCCTGACACATACATAGTTGAGGGTTTGAATAACCACTAACCCATAATCTTTTTCAAACCGAGACAAAGTGTCTTGTGTCAGGAGAGCGATTTCCTTTTTTTTATTTGATGTGTAGAGACTAAACAGTGTTAAAGTGATTAGTATGCCAACTGCCACTCACTTCCTCCACCATATCAAATGACACAAATGTAAATATTTTGAAAGTGTGCTCACATAGGCATAATTTCAGCAAATTTTGGGGGGTAAAAGGGTCCACTTTCAGTAGAGTAGTGATGTATAAAGCACAGCTCACACAGAAGTCACCTCACCAAGTAGCTTTCTGAACCAATGACAAACAAGTCAAACTGTGATATCACGTAGTAGATGAGAGAGGCAATCGTGGGACGCAAGTGTTTGTTTTTGTGGTACAAAAGTTCCAGTGCATTGCATATCTTTCCCCACGATGCTGCCAGGGCTAGACTCTGGCTGCGGGTGATTGGTTGGCCATCAACCACGGACACATCTAAACTATGTTTGTGTGTATAGAAAGTATTTTTCTCAAGAGAGCTTCGAGAACTGAAGAATGGTGGATTTCAGCCTTGTTTACCAATTCAGGTTTCGTCTCGCGGGTGATCCGGTACCAAGTTCCGAGGACTTGTCTATGCCTTCAGAGGTATATTATGTCTAAAATGTAACCCTGACCAATTTACTTGCCTTTTGTTAACCCTCTGGGGTCGACAAATGCACCAGTGCACGCACCAGATTGTTTTCACATAGCAGCAAAATAGACTTAAAATACTATCATTTATGGTCATTATGGGAGACTTAAGAAATATGAAAAAAAAGGTAAAATATTTGTGTGTCCAATTACAGTCGAAACAAAACATTGTGCTTTTGTAAAATAAAGAAAATAAACAGGGTGTGCTTTCTGCCTCCATCTACTTTTTTCTGGAGCACGTCTCTAAACTAAAAACTCGAATACTAGTCACACAGGCAAGACAATATCTTATCAAAAATGAATTACTTCTAAAATATATTCATTTATTATTATAGTGTCTATAAACAAATATATATATTATAATGACATAATTATACATGTACATTAATATGTTTTAAATAGAATCACGATTAGGCTCCTGTAGGCTAATATAGGCCTATGTAGCAGGGCATTCAGTTACTTTTGAAAGGACAAAAATAAGGTGCATTTCATTATACTAACTTTGCCATTTTTTACGTTTTATCACTGATTTTTAGTTAATCTATGCTGATTATGAAAAATGAACCGTATGCATGAGTATAATAAGATGCGCAATATATCGGGAGGCCACATTTTGATCAAATTAAGTTCAGTTTTGTATAAAGCCTTTCTTTAAAGTGAACTTTGTTTAGTATAAATTGTATCTTAATTGTATCTTGTATTTTGATTAATGTTTCATCAACCAGTTACCTATATTTAACAAATAAGCAGCAAATATAGGCTATAGCAGACAATATAATCAGGACATGGACATGCCGGCACGATTTAACTTGTAGTGCTCGTGAACTGGGGCTCGTCTCATAAATGAAACAAAACTCAGAAATACATAGAAAGCTTGAAATGTCTACGTCTAAACAACAATTCAAAACGAAAAGAAACAGAGAACTCTCTCTATAGGCTATGAAGTGCATTAGCCTACTCCATAGGCGCATTCACAATACTGCGAAGTGGCGAATCAGTCTCGTCAACTTAATCTTTTCAGTCAAAAATGACATTGATTCGATAAAATGTCTATATTTGACACATTCGTTACTTTTGCCGGTTCTTTGTGGCAAGCTTTCAGAGTCCGCTAACTAATCGAATATCGTGACAGCCACCATTGAACTCGAAACTACAATAATAAATTGTAGTTTTCCTTGCTTAAAACCCTGATCTTAAAGTAAAAAGAGGAAAATTAGTATTTAATTAAATATATGGTGAGATTACTACATTTTACTGAATTAAACGCATTTGTGGTGAAACTACTACATTTTCAGGTCAATCGGTGTTCATTTTTACCACGAACCGTGTGCTCACTTTAATTCAGCATTTGCAGCCCAGCAAAAATAGACTTGGTGCGGAAACGATATAAGCACTGCACCTGGAACGGATCGACGGACTGCATCCGCGTGCAGTGCGAAAGCTCTAACCTGTTAAGATGGGTACGGTAAAAAATACACACCGCATACGCACTGCTAACGGAGTATGTGTGAAGTGGGTGTTATTGTAATGTGTTACCAGTTCAAACAAATCTTAACAGTCATGCTTAATTATATATTCAAAACAAACTCCACGAGGCGTCAGTGATTTCACCAGTAGAGACGGCTTTATATAATGACAGCGGACCTTTCTTGACCAATCCAACAGAAATTATCAGTATGGATTTTTGCAGATAACTGATGGTGATAACTGAACAAAGGTACACGTACTTTTCTGATTGGCTTTGATTTTTTTGCAGCAAAAAAAAAAACAAAAACAAAAAAACCTATTTGGCACTTAAATCTTGTCCCATCCTGCTTGGTTAGGACATACAAGTGTAAGGACTTTAAAGAACTAAATGCAACATTAGGTTACATAATACGCAGGAATTCACAATGACATCATAGTCTCGTGTCATTCTCCTAAATGCAAAAACAGTGAAGGTAAAAGTCCATTTGGCTATAACGTGGAGAGCTACGGGTCAGTGGCCCAAAAACAAGAGCTCAGCTGCTGTCATTATGGGATTAGAGGTGACTCAACCTGCATGGTAACACAGAGCCCTGTGGCCGTCAGCCGCTTTCAAGCTATGTCCAGACAAAGTTAATTAATTCTCTCCCTTTAGCTCAAACACATCAGGTAGCTTGGCCTAAACCCTTATTCTCCTTTGATTTTAACTCATCTTCACCTTAAGAAAACAAATATTGTCCAAACGAAAAGTCCATTAATCTACAAGCAACTGTAGTCAAGCATCCTACTGTGCCCATGTTTGGTCCACAGCCACACTGCAGTGTTCAGCCGTCCTCATGTTCTCTGGAGGCCTCTTCACTTCCCACATACATAGCCTCGTCTTTCCCACCCAAGCAGCTGCTAAAAGTAAATTAGCTGCCTCTCTCACTTCGGCCAAATCCTTGGAATTAATATATTACTCAGGGGACTTGTCTTATGGCTTACTGAGCTGAAATTACGTCTTCTGTAATGTACCAGTAACAAATTCTTTCACAACTCACTGCTCTGTCACAGGTTCAATTGGTACTACTGCCAAAAGACAGGTGAGCTGTAAATAAATAAAAAAAATTTTTTTGCATTTATATATTATTTATTATTCACATTTTAGTTTTACTAAGCTGTTTTTGACTTATTTTAGAAGTGAATTGAACCATATCAGTAGGTAAATTCTCCAAAAAAAAAATAAAAAAAAATACCACTTTCATCACTTAAGACATGCGGGTTATTTATTAAAGGTAACCCACTGACCAATAGATATTTAGCCACTCCACTCAATCCATCAAGTCTGGCTCTATTTTGAGATGAAAATACATATTTTCATAATCCATTTATTAATATACATTTTGTTCACATTGAACATAAATGGCTTACTCTGAAATCCATTGCATTACACAAAATGGACAGTCAACAAGAATTCACAATGACAAAATTTAGAGAAACATTACACCCTTAATTCACATTGTACAGCTTTTTTGTGAGCTCACTATCTGTGTAGGACATCCAATTAAGGCTTACAGGCATTGGACCAGCCGTTTTTTAAGTAAAAAAAAAACTGTTTTTAAGTAAAACTAAAACTGACATCATGCACAATGTATGGCAAGGATACAGGAACCTCATGCAATGTTAATTCTGTAAAGTCAAATATACATTAAACCATACAGGCCGAAGACAGAAACTGAGGTTAAATAGACTCTGACCCCTTAAATCTGTCATCATCCAAGGAGGGCTACAATAACTAGCCCAGGGAAAGGACACCTGTGAATGCGCTGGAACAAATGGGATCAGGCCTGGACTAATAGGCTTGGCTGAAATAGGGCCTTGCTCATGATGACTAATTAACGCAAGCAGGATTATCAACCTATGTTACCCACCAACACTTGGAAGAAAGAAACGGGGACAAGAGCAAAGGCGTGTATAGTGTGTATCCCTGGGTTAGAATGCAAGATATGCAATCCAAAAGATTGGGATTATCTCAGTTGTAAGATTCTTACCAGTACGTCATTGCAGATCTCCTTCAACTCCTTCTCGATCTTTTCCCGATATTCCTTGACCATTTGCTGCTTCTTATCGCTGCCCTCCGTCTTCTGCTCGATGCTGGAGACCACTCTCCAGGAGGAACGGCGGGCACCCACCACATTCTTGTAAGCCACCGAGAGCAGGTTGCGTTCCTCGTTGGACAGTTCAATGTCACCCTCGGTGACAGCCTTCATAGCGGCTGCCATGTCATCATATCGCTCTGCCTGCTCGGCCAGCTTGGCTTTTTGCACTAGCTCGCTCTTGTCCATGGCTGCTCAGTGCTGAAGAGAAATAGTTACAGAGTTCAATCAGACACCCAATCTGAATTATTTTAGATTAATTACAACTCCACACCAAACGTTTAGTTTTACACAAAATCAAGTGAGACATGCGACTAAATGTTGCTTTTACCTAAATCAATTCTACTGAACTAAATGAACTTAAACATATGAATAATAGGAATAAGAATAATCCAAAAGAACATTAATATATATATATATATACACTTTAATATTGCATCTCTTTGCTTGATTAGCCTTATTTTGGATGTTCAAGAGGTGTCCTCTGACGAATTCTTGGTTAGATGCTAAATCCACTGAGAATAGAAACTAGGGTTAGGGTTAGGGACAAGTGGACTAGTATCACCCTTGAGGAAGTTCTGAAAAACTCAAAGCAGTGTGAATCAATTAGTTTGGCACAGGCAACACAGGATAACCAAAGGCTGCTGATGCTACTACTGACCGTGCGGGGTATATTTAATCAATTGCTTATGTTGTATAACACAAGACGATTCATGCATTATACAACATGTACAATCTACAATATATTTGTAGCTTTTAGACTTGAACCACAAAGCATTTTGCAAACATCCAATGAAAAGTAGGTGCCATTCTTGTACACAGCTTTAAAAAAAAGTTAGGCCATAAGTATTTGCCCTCCAGGGTCGCATTACAGAGCGAAGAAATATGCGGATGTGCTGTTCTCGACAACCACGCCCAGTTCCCATAGTTGCCCATTCATGCGCTTTACATATTGTGTCTTAAAGAGATAAATCACCCCTAAAATATGAACATTCTGTCATCATTTACTACACCCCATAAGACTACCATTATTCCCTTAAACATAAAGATATGCTTGGCCGTAAGACGGCACCAGTCACCATTCAAAAACAACCATGCGATGTTCGTCAATGGCGACTGAAGCTGTCATTCCGTCACATTCTGACTAATGTTTCACGTAAAAAAAAAAAAAAAAAAAATCGAAACAGTTTTGAAACAAAAGTTAAATGTATGATGACAATTTTGAGTTAACTATCGCTTTCGAAGTTGCCAAGGACCAAAATACACGTCGCTGTCGGCCACTTGCTGACTACACAAAGCTTCTTCAGCGACACCATTCTGGAGGTTCGCGACTTTATTACGTCGATATCATCGTGAAAGGGAGACAAGCAAAAGCAATTTCCCTTCAAGTGCACAGTATGGCAAATGTATCAAGCTAATATGTCATAGTAACATCATGTATCGCTGCCCTCATGATAAAACCAAGCTAGCTTGTTGGCTAAGCCATATGATGAAGGCAAGTCTGATCTGCCCTGCCCATCTGCATGGCCGACTGAACTCACAGCAAAGAAACCAGCAACTATTTCTAATGTCAAGAAACAGCCAATGTGTTTTAATGATTTAAACAATCTCTGTGCTCTATGCATGCAAGACTGATAAAGCAAATCGATGGCGCTGTTTGTCAGGTGGGTCTCTCGATTAACGTTATTTATAATAGCTCGCCTGATATTATCAACCAAATTACCCGAAATAGTCGAAGATAATAAATAAGTATACTTTTTGAGTACCATTAAATGTGTTAACATGACAGGACCAAGTACAGTCGACTGAATTAATAGTGTCAGAATAACGTTAGATATCTCAGACACGTGAAACAGGCTTCGGCTCGTTTCAGCATCAAAAATGCACTGAAACAGTATTTTACACAAGGACGCACAAATAAAACTGTTACATTAGGATATAAAACACAAAACGTGTAGTTTTAGCGATGAATTGTAACTGTAAGGTCGACCACACCAAGAGGAAGAAACAAAAAGGGGCGGCCTAGATCTGCCAAGCAAAGGCTTATTGTTCATTTCCAGCACGTTAGCATCCTCAGCTAAGGTTACTACGTCCTGTCCATTGCATCGTCCATCGCCATTTAAATGTAATTTCTCATCGCAAATAATAAAATAATAAAAACAGGACCAACATGCCTGGCATTTATACAGATCTAGCATATTCTCTTACCTGAGTCTCGGGGAATAACGATGGTCCTGTCGGAGCTAAGCTAACCGCGGCTCACAGCTGATTCTCACGGGCGCTCGGGCTAATCCACGGGGTTTCCCTCCAATCAGACCAGCCCCAGGAGCCGAGACAAGGCTGGGCCATGTGACGTCAAAGGTAACCAAGGCGACGGCTGACTTCAAGTGGTTTGTGATTGCATGAGAGCCAGTTCGTGATTCTGTAGTGCACCATTTTCCCTCCACTTTTCCTTCCCTCATTATATGTCCCCAGCCTTTCTTTTTCTATCAATACCACCCAAGGTCTGTCAGTCTAGGTTATGTTCCGTCATTATAATGTGATATCATGTTATAATGATATATTATTCTAGCGGCGTAGTTTCGTGATGTGTCAGTTTTACCCCTCACAAGTGCACTTGAATAAGATGGTTGGATGGCTTATGAATGGCAAATATGATCGTTGCTTTGCATCTGCCATTTTGTGTAATGAGAGCACTCACATAATGCAGTGCTTTAAGGAATGGTTTACCCAAAAATAATTTTAAAAATGTCATAAATACTCGCCTGCAAGTTTTTCCAAACCTGAATAAATTTCTTTCAAAGATATTTTGATAACACTTTACAATAAGGTTCATTATGTTCACTATTAATCTTAGTTAATATGAGTTTCAATATTTACTAATACACTAAAAGGTTGTATCTGTTAACATTAACAAGGATTAATACAATTACAAATGTATTGCTCATTGCTAGTTCATGTTAGTTAATGCATAAACTAATGTTAACTAATTAACCTTACTGTTAAGTGTTACCGATATTTTGAAGAATGCCAGTACACCAAACAGTTGTGGGGGCACGATTTACTTAGTATGGAATATTTCTTAAAAAATGCTGGTGGCCCCACTGTTTGGTTGAAGACATTCATACAGATAAATTCAAACAAATTCATACAGGTTTGGAAGAACTTGAGGATGAGTAAATGATGGCACAATGTTCATTTTTGGGTGTGTTAATGAAAATGTTGTGTTACTAAAAATGTAGAGAGAACATTAAAAAAATCCTCCCTTTTTTCCTCTTGAGAAGCAATTTCAATCAGGGGGAAAGGCTATTGCAACTTATGTTTCATGCAAACTATATATTTTTTGTGTTGTGGCATTATTTGAACTACAGACACATTTTTAACCCAACATTTGGGTTTGTCCATATTTGACCCAAATTTGAGTTGAAAAAACACAGCATTTTTTTTTTTTCCATTTTTTAGCATTTTGTAGTTCAAATAATGCCACAACAAAAAAATATTTGCTGTATTTGCAACTAGGCAGTTGAATTTAATTCATTTTCTTGTGAAAAACATGAAGTCTGGACTGTGGAGCCTATATCACAAGCAAAATTAGAACACAGGTCATACACAGCTTGGTAGAAGAGGAGCTATTTTTTGCACTACTCCAGTTTGTTTCCATTGGGAATTAGTCTATTTTCTACATTGTCACATGTCCTCCCATCAGATATAAATTCAGTAACCTATTTCAGGGCAAAATCCTGTATTATTGGTGCAAGTTAAGTCCACGGTGAGAGCGAAGCAATTGTGCAACCAGTGCGCTGCTACTGTAAATGCAACCGCAGTTTCACTCGAAGGTGAGCAGTGATTACAGATTTTGTTGTGTGACAAGTAGGGCAGGTTTTTCAGTTTACTTAAAGCCACACCCAGAGCAGAACTCAGAGCATGACAGTTCAAAATAACGCTATTGTCACTCACTTAGGTAAGCTGTGGCTTCGTTTGATGCTATAGTTCATACACACCTGTGTGGTTATGTCACTGCACTAAAAAGAGAAAATTATGGAGAGAACAATTTTAGTGAGTCAGACACAATGCCAATCAAAGTCTTGGCAAAGGTTGTGCTGATGTCTTTTCCAAGAAGAATAGGCTCATCTTCCGGCTACTTGCCATTGTCAAACACTTAAAAGTATTATATGCTCATGATATATATACATTTTGATGACAGGAATACAAAGGCACTTGACACCACAGAACAAAACATTTATTTAAGTAAACAAGTATTTAAGTAATCTGTAATTTATAATCATTCTATATATTTAAACATAAAATGTGTAATTTTAAAGGTTTTACCTGTATTTGACCACACCATAACAAACCATGAGGAATAAGGAGCAACCTAGATCTCTGGATATTGCATTTTGATGACAGATATACAAAGGCACCTGGCTGAAACCACAGAACAACACATTTAAATTGACTGCTTTGCATGTTATAGTATTCACAATGGCAAGATCTTATCTTCTCTTTTGGTAAAACAACCAAATTATGTCCCCAAACCAGAATTTTTTTTTTTATAAATTAAAATGTACCAAACAATAAAGAATCGTCTCTGCAACAGATATCTCATTGACTGTCCAATGTACATGATTTGGGTTGTTGAAGTGTGATTTTATAACCTCATATTTTATAAGGTTATACAACAACAATTTAATGCTTGAATTCAAAGACGAGGCTATGTAGCCTATAGATAGCAAAAAATGACACCACTTATTTAGAACAGAATGAAAATGACTAATTTAAATTATTCATTAATCATTTTACATAATGCTAATATGCATTTCTAAGATAAATAAAGTACTGTTTTTGCACTGTTAACTGGTCAGACTGTTTCCTCAGGAACCACACCTGAAAAAAAAAATGAACACATACTGACTGCATACTTTTGAGTAATATATCAAGTGATCTATTGGCTAATTATTATGCAAGCCTCACTGGGCTCAAATAACAGCTGTCCTAAAGAAGAAAGGGATAGGGAGCACAAAGTAGCCTATATGTTAATGAAGAAAACGCAACTGGGTCAACTGTGGTAATTAAGTAAAGTAGTTTTTCAGAATAAAGTAAATACATTTTAAAATAAAGAGCACTAACAAGCAAAATAAGCGAAAATTTAGTACATTATAAAACATATATGAAGCAAGGACAAAACTGCCACTTATAAATATTAGATTTTCTATAATTGTTTAATATATTTAATTTACTGTGTGATTTATTAATGCAATGTATTAATAAATGTCGGCCTAATTGTTTTGGTTGATTAGGCCTATTTAAAAAAAATATTTTACATATATTGTACCTGTCAAAAGATTGAAAACGTTACAATTTTTTATGTTTTTGAAAGAAGTCTCTTATGCTCACCAAGGTTTAAAAAAAAAACAGTAATAACATAATATTGCAATACATTATTACAAATTAAACATTTTTATTTGAATCTATTTTAAAATGTAATTTAATCCTGTGATGGCAAAGCTTTGATTTGATTTAGTAGACAATTTTTTTTTTTGCCTATAGTGAAATACCAATTTGTCAATTGATAACACATAACTTTCCATTGAGATCCTCGATTTAAAATGAAATAAATATCCACAAGACTTTATCTAGTGTTATAATAATGTTTCTCACTTGAGACATATTAAAATATTTAGCTCTTTTATTGATTATTGTGTACCATTTTTAGTTTTACTCGGCTTTTTATGGGATACATCAACGTAAAACAAATAAAACCCGAAACCTTCTGTATCAATTTATTTTTTAGATTTTTGTAAGTTATCCATCTACACATGGGACAAATCAGACATCCAATAAAATGACATTGCATTAAACATGATGTATTTTTAGATTTTGAGAGATACTTGCACCACTAAAATCTTTATCATGGACACATCTAAGATCATTAACAATATAGTTCTGTTTAATACACAACTCACTTGATAGACATGTTAAATACCTTGTTCAATTTACATTTACTTAATCCAATTTTCAGTGTCACATAACATTGTCCTTCAGAAATCATTATAACATGCAGATTTGATGCTCAAGAAACATGTCTTCTTCTTCTTCTTCACGTTATTATTATTATTATTATTATTATCATCATCAATGTTTGTTGAAAACATTTGTGCTGCTTAACATTTTTTTGTGGAAATGCTGATACTTTTTCAGGATTCTGATTAATAAAGTTCAATGAACAGAATTTATTTGCATTAATTAAATGTATTTAAAGCATTTATTAAATAGAAATCTTTTGTAACATCATTCATCTTAGGCTACGTATAAATAGCTAGCAGTAGGGAGGTGGCTGGAAAGCCAAAACAACGGACCAAAAAGAAACAAACAACTTGGATGCCATTATTGTAGTGTTTAGTTCGAACAGTAGGTGGGGATGTTTGGCAGCTGTTATTAGTGTTTGGCAACGGTTAATAATTTTTGTGAACCTAGACCCAGAGTTTCAGACATGGGCAAGTTAGCAGTTCTCTCGCTCGCTGTTACTGCTCTTGCAGTTTTAATCGGAGAAAGGCTCAGTTCATTAAGGTTGGTTCATGTGTCCGATCATATTAACGATTGCTGCGATTACCATTGCAACTTTTTATTGCAATTAACGTTTGACTAACGTTACATGTTGTTCTGATCTTTGTTGTTGACATAGGCCTATTCATTTGTAGCTTATCACTATTGCACATGACCGCATAATAATATATTTTTACACCACTTGTCGTTTTATCTTCTCCACAGGCATTTAACACTTTCCTACAGAGAACTAACTCAGAACTACCTTCCTAACTGTCACCTAATTGATGGCATAGGTAAGCAAAAACCTTTGGGTTGATCGCCTTCTTCTTTTCTGGTCACGTGTCTTTAGTTGGATTCAATTAAATAATTTGAATCTAATGCCTTGTTAGCTATATACATTTTAAACCTTGTAGTTCGTGGAAAATAATGTCTTACTGGTACAATGTAATATGTGTGTGTAGATTTGAAGAAGCAAAAGTTTCTGACACTGCTAATGTGGATGTTGTTGTAATCTTTGCTACTTTTTAAAATGTTTATCAGATTTTGGGGCTGAAGATATCACCATACTTGAAGATGGATTGGCTTTTCTGAGCACTGTATGTCATACTCATAACTTCAAAATTATTACTGAGTATTTTGATTAGTTATTCAGATATAAATTGTTCTCGTCAATTTAAGTTAATGTTAGCAACAGCCGTTTTCACTAAAAGCATGTCTATTGATATGCTCAGCTGCTGAGTTTATTTGATCATTTAAATGCAACTAATTTTTTTAATGTTCAAATAAATTGCACAAAGGGCTTGAAGTATCCTGGCTTGCCATCCTATTCAGACGATCCTGGAAAGATTTATACCCTGAATCTGTTGGATTCTGAACTGAAACTTGAAGCACTGAGCATCAAGGGTCAGTTTGACAAAGACTCTTTTAATCCACATGGAATCAGCGTATACACAGACGACAAAGGTTTGGCATTTTCATTAAATATATATATACATAAACAAGAAAAGTTGCATTCCACGTTGAATTATGTCTATATTTACATTGATATTGTTTAATTTACAATACCTACTGTACACTAAGGTGAGGTAGTATAAATGTAAAAATGTTAAATCGGTGTTATATTAACAAATCTCCTGGTTCTTCCAAGCATTATAATGGGAGTGAATAAAAACAGGGATTTTGAAGCATCCATCAACAAACTAAAGCTCCTCTGACATTTTTCTTTAATAATTCTCGGTTTAGGCTTCTAGTTCATGACTGTTTTTTTCTCTCTGTGCTTCCACGTTCATCAATACATCATGTGTCGGGTCAGGGTTCACTCTTTGTCCGAATACAAAATCTAGTGAGTCTAGTTTTAAAAAGTTAGAAATATGAATATTTTTCTTACAAAGACACATTGCTTTGTTTTAGAGGGCCTTTAATAATCCCCTGCATGGAAGAGCCAGGATATTTTTGAATATAAGTCTGATTGTGTTTGGCTGAAAGAAGAAAATATACTCATAGGATGGCGTTAGAGTGAGTAAATTATGGGATAAGTGTTATTTTTGGGTGAACTAACCATAGATATTATGCATAATAAAGGCTAGATCTAGTCTCATCTGCGCTGCTGGCCAATGGAGGTCGACGTCCACACCTGGCGGCCATCTTGCCACAGTCAGCTCGCTCACTTGTAACGTTGTGTTTTAATGGTGCATGTGCTTTTTAAATAACCATAACTTGCTCAATTTTCGAACGATTTTCAAACGGTTTGATTTGTTATAAACAGCAGATATATGGTTATGACACTGTGAATAATTAGAACCATATGAAAATAACATTGAACAAAACAGATAGGAGCAATGAATATACACACGCACAAGGTATTTATGTTATTTATGTTAAATCAATATACAGTATAGGCTACTAAAATTCAGTGTACAGAATGGCAACATGATACATATACACTTATATAATATAAATATTTCCATTTTAATAAAAATAATTTGAATTATTACATGTTTAACACTTTCAGGGTTGGGCCATTTTCTAGGGTCCAACATTGCACTGTGCCTGCTTCAGAGATCACTGTTCTTAATAATACAAGTTACAACCACACTCACAGCTTCTTATTATTAGCCAGCTACAACCACATCCACAAAGATTGTAATTTAGACAAAAGTTTAGTTTTCATAAAATCGCTATTAGTGTCAGTAAAACCTAAATGAACAGCTCGATTGTGGTCTCAGCCTTGATAACTTGCGCAAGTAGCCGTGATGCACAACTACACGATTAAGCCGTTTTTCCAAAAGAAAAACTACAATTTCAACATGTTCAAGCATCCAGAATTATAGCCACGTTAATAACGTTTGTACTAAACTGTTTGTAAATCCGTCAAGATTTCAGCGAGATAAGATTTGAGTTTGTGCAGATCACTACATACAGCCATCCACATTTACATATTCAAGCATATTGAGCTGTTAGAAAAGCCACTCCAAGCAGCCCAGTGGGATGAAGGGCACTGGAGGTACCGTAGAGCCCGCCACAAAGCTTGCCTGTGACAAGATGGCCACCGGTGATGACGATAGAGACTCTGCCGAAAGACATCTAGCCTTTATTATGGATATCTATGGAACTAAGCCTTTAAAACTACTGTAAACAGATGAGTTTGATAGAAGTCATTGCATGAATTCTTCTTCTCTCACTACAGATGGTGCCATATATGTGTTTGTTGTTAATCATCCTCAAGGCAAAAGCCAAGTGGAGATTTTCAGATTTGTTGAGAAGGAAAATTCTCTTCAACATATCAAGACTATCAAGCATGCACTTCTGCACAAGTATGTGCTTCAAAACACAGTATTTCTATAACCCTAAATCTAATCAAAGTATAAATTCCAGTTTATGTATGTCCATTTGTTAGTGTGAATGACATAGTAGCTGTGGGGGCCGAAAGTTTTTATGCCACCAATGACCATTACTTCACTAATGAGATTCTCAAGTTTGTGGAGCCCTTACTCTCTTTGCCCTGGTGTGACGTCGTCTACTACAGCCCTGAGACTGTGCAGGTTGTGGCAGGGGGTTTCCTATCTGCCAACGGCATCAATATCTCACCCAGCAAAAGGCAAGTTACAGAAAAAAGCCATGATTTGCATTCATTGAAGCATTGAATGTAATATTATCAAAGCGTTTTTTTTTTTGTGTGTGGAATTATCCCCTCTTTATATGTTATTAACACAAATAACATGTAATTTCAGGCATTTGTATGTGTCAAATATTCTGAAGCACACAATTGTTGTCCTGGAAATAAAGAAAATCACTGCATTATCTCATGTGAAGGTAAACGTCAAACTACACGAAATGTTCACACCTTCTTTTATCCCAAATAGAATATTTATTTTTGTACAGATAAATGCGTAGAATTCTGTCTTTATTAGTTGTGTTAGCTTCAAATAAAACTTTTAATGTAAAAAGCCAACCATTCTTGACTTCTATTGGTAATTTTACTGCATGTTCGTTTTTCTTACCCAGGAAGTTGATGTGGGCTCACTTTGTGACAACATTGAGGTGGACCGTGAATCTGGAGATCTGTGGCTGGGCTGCCACCCAAATGGTCTCAAATGTCTATTTCATGATGCAAATGATCCACCTGGTTCTGAGGTGTGTTAATGCTTGAGTCATGGGTTGAGCCTGTAGGTTCAAATATGTTGAGCTGTCATGTTCATCTTGAATGGTCTTCCCATCCCTTTCCCCTTTCTCTTCGTACTATTTTCTGTCTTAAAAAATATGTGTTGTCCTGTAGGTTATCAGGATTGAGAACATCCTCTCTGAAAAGCCCCAGGTGACTCAGGTGTATGCAGATGACGGCAGTGTGATCATGGCTTCTTCAGTGGCAACCCCATATAGAGGAAAGCTGCTCATTGGAACCGTTTATCAAAAAGCTCTGATCTGTGACCTTAAATAGCGAATATATTCACTTGCAGCAAACAATGAATAAAGATTTGATGATTTGGGTGTAAGTGTAAGTGCATGTGTATTTTTTTATTTTTTTTTTAGAAATTGTCTAAAAAAAGTTTTAAACTACTTTTTTTTCTTATTATATAATCATTATTCTCCATTTGTGTGGAGTGGAACTTAGATTATAGTTTTGAGTTGCCATATGTTAAGACTTTTTGACTTTCTCGAACAATAAATATTTTAGGAGTATGCTCTAAAAATAAAGGTACTTTATTGGATCTATGGTTCCATAAATAACCTTTAACGTTAACTGAAAATGTACAATCCATAAAAGGTTCTTTTGATTGTTAAAATGTTCTTTACATGAATTATCTAAAGTTATTTTAAGAACTTGAGTACCCAAAAATGGTTCTTTGACATTGCTTAAAGGATTAGTTCACTTTTAAAAAAAAAAATCTTATCTAGCGAAACGATCGGTCATTTCAAAAATAAATAAAAAAGTTTAAGTTTTATAAGCACAAATGCTCGCCTTGCTCTGTTCTGTGATGAGCGTTCGTGACTCTCCTGTTCCAACTCGTTCATCAAAATGAACAAATCTTTTTTCGAGTCATGACTCAGATAAGACCCTTATTCATCGTCTGGTGTCGTTTAAAGACCTTTGAAGCTGCACTGAAACTCTCATTTGGACACTGAACCGTTTGGTTCCCAATGAAGTCCATTATATGTAGAAAATCCTGGAATGTTTTCATAAAAATCCTTAATTTCTTTTCAACTGAAGAACGAAAGACGTGCACCTTGGGTGACATGGGTGTAAATTATCAGCAAAAGTTTTTTTTTAAAAGTGAACTACTCCTTTAAATCCCTTCTGGAATTTTTATTTGTGTTTATTAAGTGTTTATGATGTCAATGAAAACTCAATTATGATTATCTGAGTGAACAGCGCAATGATCTCAGGGTGGATGACATGTTCAAAGTGTTTGGGATGGCACTTCAAAAGTCCAAATTGCCTGTGAATGAAACTGCAGTGCTAATGATTAAACAACTGAAATGTATTGTAATTCAAACTGTATATTGAAGAACGGGAAAAGGGATCTGACTTAGTCAATCAATGGCCTTTTTATCTTTAAATGCAAAAATGTGTTTTCAAAACACCTGCTCGTATAATAATTCTTGCTTACTGGATGTGTGTGTATGTATAAACAGTATATCTTAAACGTACATTGGAAATAATCCTTTACCGTAACTTTAATGTTCAGTGTCATTTAGTTGACCTGATTACTCTGGAATCATTCTTCAGTCTAATGACTAGCACAATAATCTAACTGTCCTGTGAGTTGAATGTGGTTATGATTTAATGTAAATGCAGATTTCATTTTATTTGATATGATTGTGAAACAAATCAATTGTCAGTGTTACACTAGACTAGACATATACAAAGTTGTGAATGATACCCCAATTTGAGTTCATTAAAACTGATGACAGAAGAAATGTTACTGTGAGTTTTTCTCTTTGCAGAAGTCATGAGAGGCATTTAAAGGAAAAAGAAAGCATCACAATCACATCAGAGTCACAATCTAGAGGGAAAATGTATGATTTGAACACGAGTCCATCCATACAAGAGGAAAGAGGGAACAGATAGCAAAAAGGTGAGTACTTCTTCCTTACAGCTGATTTTCAGCTTGACTTTATTCCAGTCTCAAGTGTGCTGCTGGGTAAAGTCGTAAACAAAGTCGTAAGTGCTGGGCTCTTTGGGAACAGGAGGTGGGACGTCAGGAATCTGAATGTTTTCGAGGTCCAAGAGGCGAAGTTTCAGCTCCATAGTAACCAGAGTGTCCATATCTGATTTTGTGAGCTCACTTGTCATCTCTTTTCCCAAAAGAGCATTTAAGCCATCACTCCAAATACAGAACTAGTGAATAAAAAAATAAAGGAATTTATCAATAGAGCATTGTTAAGGATGATGCATTAATTCAAGCAGCTCATTAGTGGTAATACAACTTAGGCCAACTTTTAATGGCTTTGATGAGGTGATATTGTTATATTATAAAGAACAAAGGTTCTTTACCTATCCATGAGAGAAGTATACCTTTTATTACTGTTCTGGCTTAGTATCCTGATACTCACCTCATGCTTGTCTGGAGCAATGAAGTTCAGGTATTCATCAGAATTATGGAGAATGGAAAAGGCCAACTCCAGCTGCTCCTGAAAAGCAGAGGAAGAGAGTAATCTCCAACCCTGCAGCGCACCTGACCTCACTTACTGTTCCACAATTCCCACTTGCACTTTACTTGCGGTGCCTTTGCAAAACAGATGGCTTCTTTTGCTATTAAACCCTCCTCCCCAAGTCTGCTGAATTTCCAAAAATGTCAATTTAAAACTTCATAAATTTAGGTTTGAGAGATGAATATCTCTTAGATAGATAGACATTCCTCTCTCTCAAACCCTACATATGCACTCATACACACAATTGGTATGTTGTAAAACAATGCTATTCATTGAACGTCTACCCCTCACATCCTTGTTTTCATTCCTGACAAAATTAAATATGGCGCTACCCATGTAAGTCGATTTAATATCCATAGTCTTCGGTTAAAGGAGTAGTTCACTTTTAAAAAACGTTTGCTGATAATTTACTCACCCCCACGTCATCCAAGATGTCCACGTCTTTCTTTCTTCTGTCGAAAAGAAATTAAGGTTTTTGATGAAAACTTTCCAGGATTTTCTCCATATAATGGACTTCATTGGGAACCAAATGGTTTAAGGTCCAAATGAGAGTTTCAGTGGAGCTTCAAAGGTCTTTAAATGACACCAGACGATGAATAAGGGTCTTATCTAGGACCCTTCGAGTCATGAGTCGAAAAAAGATTTGTTCATTTTGATGAACGAGTTTGAACAGGAGAGTCACGAACGCTCATCACAGAACAGAGCAAGGCGAGCATTTGTGCTTATAAAACGTAAACTTTTTTATTTATTTTTTAAATGACTGATTGTTTCGCTAGATAAGACCCTTATTTACCGTCTGGTGTCATTTAAAGCCCTTTGAAGCTGCACTGAAACTCTCATTTGGACGTTAAACCATTTGGTTCCCATTGAAGTCCATTATATGGAGAAAATCCTGGAATGTTTTCATCAAAAACCTTAATTTCTTTTCGACTGAAGAAAGAAAGACGTGGACATCTTGGATGACATGGGGGTGAGTAAATTATCACCAAAAGTTTTTTTTGTTTGTTTTTTTTAAGTGAATGAGTGACTACAATATGTGTATTTTTGTGTTCCTATGAGCTCAAATAGCAAAGAAAAATGCTACAAAAGTCTTTTCACAATTTTTAAAAAGAGGAAAAAAATAAATGGAGAGATTGATAATGGCAATCGACAAAAATATGTGCATTTGTAAAGCACAGCCGCTGTATATAATATAATAAAAAATATAGTGCTATAAATTTAGGTTACATACATAAAAAATGAAAATATAAAAACTTCGTAGCATTTACGATGCTGATGACGCAAGATTAAAACTTGTTACACAGTGTGTAAAAAGGGCCATCTAACCACTAGATGGCGTCATTTGGACTTAATTGGCATTTGTGTTCCACTGTTTTCTTTCCTTGGGGCTGTTCTAGTTATTATTTTGAGGTAATTAAGGATTTCATGTATTTTTGCCTCTGCAAGATTCTGCATGTAAAATCAGCCTGTCTTGTCTGCTCTGAGTTTGGATCCACAACACCTAGCTGTCTGGTGAGTTTACCAACTTGTCAAAGTTTCTTATTACAATTACAATAACTAATACTTCTTACCTTATTCTTAAGTGCTCCTTTCTCCCTCATATGTGGGCAGTCTTTCCCTGTTACCAAAGCTTTGATATCTGCCACTGTCACTGAATGTAGAGAAGATGGAATGTTATGGAGAGTTGACCAATTCAGAATTTCGTAGAAATTAGGCTATATTCAACCAAATTCATTAAAAACATTTAGCTCTAGTCTGCTTCAAGCTTGTGGATCAATATGGTATTAAAGGGATAGTTCACTTTGAAATGAATTTTTGATATGTTTTAGCTTACCTCAAGGGCATCCAAGATGTAGGTGTCTTTGTTTCCACAGTATTTTAAATTTTGATGTTTTTAGGTCAAACCGTTCTTGTCTGTCAGTCATATAATGGAGGTAAATGGGGTCCACCTAAAAGAGCATGCACAGAGAAGTCCAGATTAAACATGATTTAATGACTCGTAAATGTAAGTACACATTGATGGCCTAAGACACGAAGCAAGCAGTTGTGCGAGAAAACGTTTTTACCTCTTGTAACCACAGCCATGTCCAAGTGATCTGAGGGCGCGGGCGCTTTGTGGCAGTGGTTACAAGAGGTAAAAATGATATAAATACTGTTCGTTTTCTCACACAAACTGCTCGTTTCGTGTCTTAGGCCATCAATGTGTACTTACATTTACGAGTCATTAAATCATGTTTAATTTGGACTTCTCTGTGCATGATCTTTAAGGTGGACCCCATATACATGCATTATATGACTGACAGACAAGAACGGTTTGACCTAAAAATATAAAAATTTAAAATACTGTGGAAACAAAGGCACCTACGTACATCTTGGATGCCATCGAGGCAAGCTAAAACATATCAAAAATTAATTTCAAAGTGAACTATCCCTTTAACTATCAATGTGATTTAAAAAAACTGCAGTTTTCATCTACGGCTTTTGTCATTTATGATCAAAAAGTGCTTCTCACCTTTCTCCTGGAGAGAGTCGTGTGATATTTGTCCTTGTGAGAACTCCTCTATGTCTCCATAGTGTAACACTTTGTGGTTTGGAGATAGACGACAATACCAGAACTTGTCTAGGACATATGTATTAATAAAAATATGCATGTTATACTGTGCAAGTCATTGTTTGGCTGTTTTCTTTGCACAAATATCTTGCTTTGCATTGTCCTTATAATGATCCATTCTAATCAGATTTGACAGTTTTTCTAGTCGGACAACACTGTAAATGAATTCACTTTTGATTAAAAGCATCACTTTGCTTTTAAAGCTTGACTAACTGCTCTTTTCATGTTTTTTTTTTTTTTTAATAGATACAATGTATTTGCATATAGGCTGTTTTGTGCCCCAAATAGAGAATTAGATTATACATTTAATATATTCATATCCTTGTTTAATATAATGCAACATCAAACAAACCAAGCATTAGGGTAAGATGGTCGAGGGAACCTAAGCCTGTAATGCCCTATATTTGAGTAGATTATTAAAGATGTATGTAATCTTTATAGACATTAAGCTATACAGGGTCTCGCTTCAATTTAAGTATATCCAATCTGATTGTCAATCAATCCGGTGTTGTTAGTGTCATCTATAATACTGCAATCAAATCCATCAAATGGCGAATTTGGAACTGAATCCATGAACTGAATTACAAAGGTTATCAGATTTTTGGATAAGCAACTGACCTTGTCTGCGACGAGCACTGATCTTCCTAAAGCAGGTCCCCTCACACAGCCGGTTCAACCTCTGCCGTTTGATCAGCTCGGTCACCTCTGGCTGGAGTTTCTCTCGTAGTTCTCTAAACACACGCAGACATGTTACCTCATTGTTAAGGGCTTGTTAAGAAAGTTGTCACTCAGATGATGCATGCTCGGATGCATTTAAAATTGAATTGTAAATAATGAGTGAAATAAGTGGTGAATTGCTTCATTTATATACTAAAAGAAGATGCACTTACAGCATTGGACGTGATTTGGGGTCCTCCTGGCTCAACATCTCTGATTTCAGCAAGGGTCTGTGTGGCCTGCCACTGCCCACCGTGTTAAATCGCAATGTGACACTTTGGGTGGTGTACCATTTCTGTTTTTTCTCCACCTACAGAAATGGAGACAGTCATTCAAATGCAACACATCTTTTGCTTTGTTCATATGGCGTGATTTCTTTTCGCTTGATGGCCTGGAGGCTTCACCAGCTGTCATTGTAGTTTGCTGTTGAAGAGCGTTTTCTGTCTTAACAGTGATTTGCTGATGGCTATACTGCAGTTTTGCAGTCTGAGTCTTTATCTGTGTGGCTTAATGGAGTTTTTCTTTATCTCAGACCTCGCATCCCTTTGTGTGGCCGTTGGGTACATGCCTGGCACAGTGTTGGGGTCTGGCAGGGGGAACTGAGGAGCTCAATGGGATTAAGGCCCTGTCAGTCTAATCTCTAACAGTGCTGTGACAGTCCGAGCCTGGGGAGAAACATGCTGACACAGTACACTAAAGTGAGTAGGCCAGCTAATGTCTGGACACATCGGTTGTGGTTCGTTTCGGTTGTCATGTGTGTTGTCTCTCAGCATCTGTTTACCTTTTCACTATTTCTACTCTGTTAATGCGATTACCGGTAAGTAAATTCATAAAAGTGCAATGACATTTTCATTGCAGATTTTAACTAGTGTATACGATTTTTTTTCTTTTTAATTGCAATTGACACTTAAGTGTGTACTTAAGCATTTTGATGATTCTGGAAATGAATTAATTTCCTAAATAACTTTACAACATCATCTTTATGTAGACCATTAGCTATATGACTGTGAACTTGGATTTGGGTTACAGGAGGGAAATATAAAAACAGGACCAAGACTAAAAAGTGTGTATAAGAGCATTCAAGTTTTTATAAACTGCTTTTTATAGCTGCTGTTATTAAGAATAAAAAAAACATACTGAGAGTATATGACGAGTTCAGATGCAAAAGCCTCTAAGTGCCATTTGAAATTTTCTTAGAATGATAATTTTTATCAAGCTTGTATATTTAATTTTGATGATTTCACTTAAATGGCAATGGTAACTACCTATTAATTGTTATTTAAGTGAAATTACTGAACTTAAATATACAAGTTTGATAAAAATCATCATTAAAGAAGAAAATTTCAAATGGCATTTAGAGGCTTTTGCATCTGAACTCTTCATATTGAGATTTTTTTTTATTAATCTATTTTCTTTAATAAATTTGTTTTATAGATTACTATTATTATTTAAATAAATAAATTGATAATTTTATTCATTTTGAGTTCTAATCAATCAACATTTGGCAACACATGCAGGATCAGGATCCTGTAATTCATGTTTCTATTGCAAGATCAGGATAGTGGAAGGTGAATATATGCAACTATTAATTGTAGCCATGTATTAAAATTTTATACAATACAATATGCTGACTACTTTTTCACCATGCTTCCGGTACGTTTCATTACATAGCCTTTCCAGACAAACTGTTGATTCCTCCAGATTGTAAAAATTTCGATAACATTTTTTCTCCAATAATAAGCAATAACACCCCCCTCCCCACCTCTCAACAGTGACAAACAAAGCAAAAGGGTATTAAAGTGATGAGCTATAATTAGATCCCTTGATCAAAAATAGGGAGTCAAACATGAATAATAACTAGAAGTTGCATTAGGTTTATAATAATTAAAAGCCGATATAATTTTGTGGTTTAGTAATGCTGACATTCCCCTGTAAATCATTACATAAAAACATGAATTCATTGCAATATTTCAAAACAAATATTTAAAATGGATCTGCCAGCTGACTCTGTTCTAATGTATTCTATGATCATGCAATGTTTACTGTAACAAAACAATAACAAAGCATCACCCTGTCATTCAGTTCTTCCACTATTATGATTCTCAGGTTACTCTGTGAGCAAAGTCAGTTAAAGTATGGTCATTTAAAGGCTTGCTGTACTTACATGTCACAGCCATGTCCATGTGTCAGTGCAGAAATTTCAATATTTGTATTAAAGGAATGAACCATAAACCCGTTTATCTGGTCACAGTGGCAATGGGGCGAGAGAAGTGATGCAGGCGACAGCAGATGGTCCCACAGCAAGAATAGATTGTCTGCGTGCAGGTATGAGAAAGAGGGGGGCAAAAAAATAGTAGAACCCAATGTAGTATTTCTCTTTGACTCCTCACTGAAAGAAAGAATCAGTTCTGAATCCTTAGAACGCTGCTTTGCTTGTTTATATGAGTGATCTGCACCGATTGGGCAGATGCCTTTGTGATGCCAGCCAATGAACAGCTGGTTTTGGTCACATGGGTAGATCACAGAGGGAGAGCATGAGCAAATTGGATGGAGGGATGGGGGATGGGGGGAGGACATGACCAAAAGATTATGATTTAAGATTTTATCTTCTGTCTAGCTAAATCACATTGAACTTGCTGATGTTTTTCAGGAGCACTGCGAGATACAAATGGCCCTGAAAAGAGTTTGAAATTTTCTGTGAAAGGGAAAAGGTGTGGAAACGTGCATCGTTCTCCATCAAAGCAAAAACCAGGGGTGCAGTCATTAGAATTCTGTTGTCATGGAAACCGGTTCAGTGTGTCCTGTCGGGCTGGTGCCGGGACTCTGCTTTACCCCAGTCTTACACAATAAGAGCCTTGCAGCCTCTTCCTTTTTACTTGCTCTTTCACTCCACTTTCATCCTCTGGTTTGTCAAATGTACTGCACATTGGCCACTTTGGATAGGAGAGATGTACTTTCATCCCATGAATCAAAGCATGTTGGTACAGGGACAGGCTAGACTAGAATTATAGATGTTTTTGGGGGTAAGGGATGAGCCATTAGTGTTCAGTATTGAATTTATCTGTGTGTTATAATGCTGCCTGGTTCACCTTTAAAGTGGTTGATCGAAATATTACAGGTGATAATACCAGAGACTTTCTGTCAGGTCAACCAAAAATGAAATTGTCATGTACTCACCCTCATGTTGTTCTACGGCCTTATGATTTTTTCTTTCTTCTGTGGAATACAACATGAGATGTTAAGTAGTACATTCACTTTTTTCCCCCCCAAAAAAGCTCTCCTAAACCATGCAAACCGCATTTTATGGTTTCTGAAAGGGTTGGTTCACCCAAAAATTCTGTCATTTATTAGTGTTTAATTGAGTAATGAATGACTTAGCCCTTGGGTTATAAAGCCCTTTGTTATTTTTAGGGCTTGGTAATTTTAGAAGAGACCATCAATTGATTGTACTGACCGCAGTTGACGTAACTGTTCCCCTTGAGCAGGGAATAATTCCTCTGTGCTGAAAGCGCCAATTATTAAACTGAAGAAGGAAATGGTGGACAATGTGAGTTCTTTTTAACGTGTAAAAAGGAAATAGAGTTTTTGTGCTATACTACAAGGAGCATAAAAGTATCATGCTCATTAAGGCTGCATTTATTTGATTAAAAAATTATGAAAAATTATGTGAAATATTATTCAATTTAAGTGACTGATTTGTATTTTAATATAAGTTATTCCTGTGATTGAAAAGCTGAATTGTCAGCATCATTATTTATTACTCATTAATCTTCAGTGTCGCATTTATTTGAAAAGTAAATCTTTTCTAACATTAAATGTCTTTGTCACTTTTGATCAATTGTATGCATTCTTGCTGAATAAAAATCCCTTGATCACTTTTAAATTGGAGTGTATACATTTTAAATGGATTTTAAAAATCTATGTCTAGCTAGAAGAAGCATCACCTAAAACTTCAGTCGTAATGATGGAATGCTAAATGAAATGCTTCTTGCAGTCCAAGAAGAAAACAAAACTCACCAATTCGCAGTGTTATGTTGATGTATCTTGTTGATGTTGATGTAGCTGATGGTGTCAGACGTTTCTTTGCAGCATCATCATGTTTAATGTCTAGAATCCTCCTGAGCAACTGTTTTACCTTCCTTTGCTTCAGAAAATGTCATAGCAGTGCAACACAGGTGGTAGATTCAGTTCCTCAAGGCCAAAAACATTGTGTTCATGAGAACTTCTCCATATTGAGACCTATAATAAACTCGTCAGTAAGCTTTTGGAATGGGGCCACAAATTAACGCGGAGGTTTTGAGATGCATTTTGAGATGCATTTGAGTGTTTTAAACATTCAAGATGTCCTTATGATGATAGTATGCACAAAATGAAGAAAATGTAGGCTATTCGTAACCCCTAACCCCAAAGCAGATCCAGTGCTGCTGTGTGTACCAGTACCATAAAAAAAGGCTTCTAATATGCCTGACCAGACTCATCTTAAATGCGTTCTGAAAGATGTCACCTCTAATTTGATTAATGTAGGATGCAGAAACACCATTGCTACAGCATTAATCAACTCTCCCTCCTGATGAGTTAGTCTCAAGCCTCATGAACAATGCTGAGGATTTACGTAAGGTGGGTTATGTAAGAATGCTGACATCTGCCAAACAGCACAGCTGACCACCTCCACCTCACATCTGTAAATTCCTCTAATTATCCTTGAGATTATGAAAACCTCACTCACCCACCCTCAGACACACATGTTTTGTTTGCTTCATTAACCCTGAAAACTGGGAGTCACAGTGCTTTTAATATCAAAACAATTATGTATGTAATTATGTATATAACAAAGTATGTAATTTTATGATCATGTTTTAATTTTTTTTTCAGACTGAGGGAGATTTTACACATCTGCTACGAGGTTCCGTCTTGTCATATAAAGTGTTGATGGGATTGGTTCACGCTGGTTTCAGAGGTCAGTGAAATATTCATCTGTTCTTTGTCTTCTCTGCTGCGGTCTCGTGTCACTTTAAGGTATTGTGGATTTGTTCAATAATTCAGATATTTTGCAAGGATGCAGGCAGATATTTTCCCAGTTAGAGGCTCTAAGAATACTCTGTGGATTTAGAGAGCCCTAAAGAAAAGTGTGTTTAGTGTTTACCACAAATTTCTGTATACTGTTAAAAAAAGTCAGTAAATGTCATGTGGAATGCATCTCATGACCAAGTTTATAATTGATTACAGTTCTCCTTTCCAACTTTCAGATGGCACAGCAGTTAATTTCACATTCAAAATGCACTAAAAACTTCTCAAACGTCTCAAATCAACTCATTCCTCCATAACAATAGCAAAGGTTGTCACCCAACAAACACACTTTGTCACTCTAAATAATGACCTAAAAACACTAACAAAGGGTGGCATTACACAATTTATTTTGCAAAAAATGTCTTTACAAATCATTCATGTTTATATTACAGTATTATTCCTATTTCCCCTTTTGTCTAGATGATGATAATGAAATTGAAAGACTAACACCCGTGATTTTCAGCTACATGCAATTATTTGGCAATTGGCACATTGGAAGCATTTCGTTTTTTTTTTATTTTTAAAATTCTGAGTATATTTCAATATGGTATTACTATAGAAATGTAGCAAATTGCTGTATGATTCAGTTTTGTACTAGATTTAACAGTTTTGAGTATTTAATAGGGGTGTAACAATATATCATGCCACAATATATCGCAATACAAAAATGCAACAATACGTATCGTGGAAAGTGACAATTTGCATCGTGGATGGTCCCCCCAAAATAAAAATTATTGCATGAGAAAAAATTCAAGATTTCTGAGTTTTAGTGTCAGTACTACATTAAACTACAATATATAATGTTGATTATAATGTATAATAATGCAATGTGGGAATATTTGTGGGTCCTGATAATGCCAGATGTCTGATGTTACCAGTAAAAAGTGTCCGACATTATTTTAAATATATCTAGTCAATGAAAGCGTGCAAGCATATTCATCTACAATAACTAGTAGTTTCAGCTTCAGAATCATGAATATCGTTATTCTGGTGTTACCATTGTCCTTTTACCATATGTCTTGAAGTATCGCAATAATATCATATCGTGAGTTAAATATCGTGATATGTATCGAATCGTGAAATGAGGGTGTCGTTACACCCCTAGTATTTAAAAACTGTAAATTGGCCTGATGGTAGTTTTGATGGTGGTTGTGTCTGAGTGAGAAAAGAATTCATGTATTTTGAAAGTAGTCTTTATTGAATGCATGATCAATGATCCACAGTTGATCTCACAGACGGCTGTTGTGCTCATTGTACGAAGAGTTTTGAAAAAATGACCCCAGTATTGAGAAATGTGTCCAATTGGAAAAAATAAATAAATTGTCACATTATTAAATTAAAATCGTTATAATGTTCAGTGTTTCAATGATCACATTTGTCTATATAAAACAAAGATTTCTATTATTTCCTGTACATGTTTGACAGTTTTGAATGTGTGTGTACAGTTAAGCATGTTCTTAATGTTTAATGGGTGAACTAACATGCCTTTGTGTGGGCTTGAGGACGAAGGAGGTGGGGATGTTTTTTGTTATTCATGGGTTTTTCAGTGGCAAATCGTTAATTTCATGTGGGAAAACTCCATGGGTTTTATAATATTTCTTCACAGTATATGTAAATACAGATTAATCATTGTCTGCAGTGATATGGAAAAGGGAAAAGGTTTTAAGGAATTTGTCCATGAAGCCGTAATGCATCTGCACTGCATCTCAGAGTTGGGTTACATAAGTGCTTACTTCTGGTCACTGCTCATATGTATCCCAGTCCCTCTGCTGCTTTTGCTTAAACTGAAGCATTACATCAGTCCGCACTACATCAGTCTTCTTGCTGCAGGACTGGAGTACAATTTAAATCTCATAATAAACAGATCATTGCATGATGTCTGCTACTCATTTTTTTGTTGTATGTCTTCCGTCCCTTTGTGATAGTTTTGTAAATGGCAATAAATTTGCTATTATTTTGCCCTCAATCTCACTCCAGTGGACCTTGTTATTGGGAAGAGATAGAAAGTCATTCCCTGCAGCCTCACCTGTGACACATGATCAAACGCATACACACTTAAACAAGGCTGCTATAACAATGACCCAGCATCTGACAAGGTTACACCTGCTCGTTTCACAATCTGACGTCACAGCCTATTTCTGGAGCGAGAGGCTGTCGACACTGTCCTCCTCCATTCTGCAAACAAAACTGATGTGAGGAACTTGTTTCAAAGCTCCTATACTACGTGTATTCACTGTGCGAAGAGCGTGGATGCATTACTATACACTAAAACAATACAGGAATGTAAGTTTACACAATAAATTACACTATCTTGAGATACCAGTATGATGTCCAGTTAAAATGCTGTCCAGTCACGAGATGAATACTTCAGTCATATTGGAAAAATAATAAAAACTGATTTATTCTGCATAGAACAGGGTACTTTTGGGGGTCAAAAAACACAAAATACTAGCTTTTTTATATCTTATTACCCCGTTTTTTAACTTTTTCTTTTAAGTCTATACTGTAGCTGAACAGTGTCACTGCTGTATGTCAGTGCACTGTAAGTTGAAGACTATACTGTCATATGTACATCATATTACTGGGAAATATACAAAAATATCCAGACTTAATCAACTTTAGTGAAGAAGGGTTTTAAAATTGTATCTTTTTAGTGGTCATCTTTTTTCAGTTTACTGGCAGGAGCTGCGTAGAGATGATTTGGTGAAAGACAAACATATTTCTCCTTGAAACACACCTGCTGGGCTGTACCCAGTCATTAAAAAGGAAGACAGCCTGTTGGGTGTTTTGCTGCAGCTCAGCGTTGAACAAGTGTAAGTACATTCATTACTTTCTGCTCAGTTCTGTCACAGACTCGCACTAGTTAAAGGGCGCCACCATGAGCATCACCATCTAACAACAGACTAATCATGCACATGTAAAAATCTGTACAAATCATGTAAATGTCTTGATGAAACAAAAGCAGTGGCTTTCAAAACACTGTCCTCTTGTTTAGTTAAAGGAGAGACATGAATGGCACAGTACAAACATACTCCCTACAGAAAGAGTTTCAAGCAC